CACTACGCCAAACGCTTCGCTCTCACACCGACCGCCATCTCCACGCCGTACCATTACACGACAGGAAGCGACAAGGGAGAATCCGCTCTACTCAAGCCCGCCGGCATACGCGACTACCAGAGGAAGCTGGGATGCCTCCTCTTCGCAGCCGTTACCTGCCGTCCAGACCTTTCATACTCCGCGAGCCAGCTCGCCACCTACCTTAAGAAGCCCGAAGCAAAGCACCTGGCGGAGCTCGACCGCGCTCTTCACTACCTCGTCAGCACCCCGACGATCGGCCTAACTTACTACAAGAACGCAACTGCACCGACTAAGTTAATCGGCTACGTCGACGCCGATCACGCTGGCGACTCCAATAACAGACGATCGCGCACCGGCTACATCTACCGCCTCGAACCTATCGGTCCTATCTCCTGGCAGTCGAGCAAGCAGGAACTAATCGCCCTCTTTTCAGCCGAAGCAGAATATATCGCACTCTGCTCAGCCACCAAGGAAGGACTTTATCTTCGCGATCTATTGGAAGAAGCGAAATTAGCCGAGTTACCCAACTTCACCCTGTTCTGCGACAACCAGTCGGCAATTCGCATCGCCAACAAAAACGGCTTCGCGAACAGGACGAAACACATCGCCCTACGCTATTTCTTCGTAAAGGACGAGATCGAGAAGGGGAGACTCGAGTTGTCATATTGTCCCACGTCAGAGATGGCAGCTGACTACTTGACCAAGAAGCTCGGAAAACAGAAATTCGAGTACTGCATGCTGCTGACTGGACAGAGCCACGTCATCAGCAACGACACTCCAGAAGCGAAGGGGAGTGTTGGAAACAACAAGTCGTAAGCGCCTCTGTCGTGTCGAAACACCGCACCAGAAGCGAAGTAAATCATAACGAGACACCCGCGAGTCAACCCTCGGAGGTTGAAAGTAACTGTTGGAGGTTACGCGAAAGTCAAAGGTCAGCAACCTTTGACCTGACAAATGCAGCGCGACAGCAAGGACACACAACTGACTCGATATTGAGCAGTTGCCCGAGTCGCACTGTATCGAACCGCAACAGCAAACAGTAAAATAGTTATCAGTCGTATCTCTTCGTATTCCTTGTACTCTTATATAAATCTTTGTACTTGCTTGCTTCAATTACCGTCAGCCCCCGGATAGAAGCGCCCCTGGGGGTATAAAAAAACACTGTTTTTTAGGGGGTGGGCTTATAATTGAGGATTTTTATAAGCGCCGGCGCTTATATAACGGCAAACATGAAATTAAGTAGTTTTTAGACCAATCTGTAGATCTCGTTCTGCACATTGTAATCGAGTCGAAAATATATGGGGTCGCGAATCTGATTCTCGCTCAGCTTGGCAGGGATTGATTTTTTGCCAACACATGCTGACAAAGCGACAGCACGTGCTGACTAGACGCGAAGCAAGTGAGATGTGAGTGGGAAACTGAAACTGTACTTCGCTTTCCTGGTAAGGTGAAATTCGTTTCTGTATTTCGACTGATTTTCAGATATAAAATTGGCATGCGCTTATAATAAATCATGAATTTTTAGGGGGTGCGCTTATAATCGAGGACCGGATATAAGCGCCCTCATCCTTTTATAAGCGCCGGCGCTTATCCGAGGCCTGCGCTTCTATCCGGGGGCTTACGGTAACTTACTTTTGTTGGAAACAATAAAACTTAAGCGCTTCAGTCGTGTCGAAAACACCGCATCAGAAGCGAGGCAAACTACACCGAAGCACCCGCGAGTCAACCCTCGGGGGTTGAAGAGGTTGCTGGAGGTTACGCGAAAGTCAAAGGTCAGCAACCTTTGACCCGACAAGTACAGCGCGACAGTTAAGGACATACAACTGACTCGTTACAGAGCAGTTGCCCGAGTCGTACTGTATCGAACCGCAACAGCAACAGTAAAAGTAGTTATAACTGTATCCTTTGATATTCCTTGCACTACTATATATTCTTGTACTTTCCTGTTATAATCAATCTACTTTGCCCTCACATACTAGCGCAAGGTGGTTCACAATTTCTTCACTGAAAGCTTCCGCTATTACAATTGTTCTATCTAGAGTTCTCCCCTGAAAAGATCCTAAGGGGCTATCTCAGCCCAACATGGTATGAGAGCAGTCAGGGGAAATTCTACCACTTCCAAATCAAAGACATTACAAGACATGGCAACAAACAAGGAGAGGAGCTCTTCTAATGGCTCCCCGGGCACTACTCCTACACCACCTCCTGCCTCTGGCCTGCAGACAGAGGAAGGCACGGCAACAAGACCTAGGGGAACGTCCACCGAGACTCTCACAAATCGCCCCACGGACTTCGACCAAAGCATGATGGAAAAAATTTTCTCCTTCATGTCCTTCTACGAGCAGCACCAGCAGTCGGGACCTGCACAGACACACAACAGCAACAACGGAGTGACGCCCATGAGCCTTGATGGGTCGTCATACGCGCGCGGAAATCAACAGCAGCAACCTACCTTCGCCCCGTACGAACGCGGGTCAATCAGCTTCATGCCGCAGTCTTCACCTACACAAGACAAATCACTGGACGCGTTACAAGTACAGTCGCAATTTGCACACCTCTTGAAGCTTCAAACGTCAAGGCCATTCGACGGAAAGGACTTCTTCACCTGGTCCTTTGAGTTCGAGTTGATGATGGAGGGCGCGCAGATACTTGGCTTCTTCGACGGGTCCCTGCAATACCCAGCAAACGGCACACAGTATGAGAAGCAGCAGTACACTTATCAATCGATGATGGCGTATACGATCCTACTGAGGAACGTAACACCAACTCAGCAGCAGAACATTCGCTCTTACCGGGCCTTCGGCAACTCGGCGGAACTCGCGTACAACCACCTGAAGTACCTGTACCAAGCAACAGACAGTGTAAATCAGAGCAGGTTAATGGCGCAGCTGACAACAGTTGAGATGAAACCAGGAGAGAAAGGAATGGCATATATCAGTCGATGTCGCGAACTGCGCGACAAGCTTCTTCGATGTGGAGGATCAATCTCTGAAGACGCTTTCGTGACGGTCATCATCGGCGGCCTTGGTCCTCAGTGGCGCGCAACAAAGGCCATCCTCCGAGCCCACGGACGAATTTCTGAGGCAGCACTCTGCGCCGAAATCCACGCCGAACAGCAGGACATGGATCTGCAAGAAGAACGACACAGGAAGAAGACGACAACGTCAGAGTTCGCATTTCACACCCAACGACGACACAACAACTACAGCAACAGACAACAACAGCCGAAGCCAGTACCTCCCTTCTGTCACATCTGCAAGACTTCAGGGCACCCGCGCACGCACTGCCCGAATCGTCAACAGTCAACGACCCCGCAACGACACCTTCGACCTTCAAGCAGTCAAATTGCGTCAACGCAAGCGAATCCAACGACCCAGATCCAAGCTTCAACAACCTCAACGGGACAACCTGCGCAAGGAGCAAGAAACATCGTTAGCTGCATGGCAAGACTGAGTGACTCTTGCGTCATGGATTCACCACCTCATTACTCACCGGAAGAACAACTCGACAACACCACACCTCGTCGCGAAGCACTTCAACCAAATCCGACATACGCTGCCATCGCCCAAAACGAGCCATCCGGAAAAGACACGTGGTTCTTGGACAGTTGCTGCGGACAACACATGTGTTCTTCGGGACGCTTCGTACAGAGAGAGTATCAGCTTCAACGAGAGGTCGTCATCACCGTCGCCAATAATCAAAACCTGCGCACACGACGACAAGGAATTGTACAACTTCAGTCACGGGAGACAAACGTCATTCTGCAAATGTCCAAGGTTTTAATTGCAGAAGGCCTCGGATACAACCTTCTCAGTGTGAGTCAGTTGATGGCGAAAGGCATCCACCTCGAAGCAGACAGCACTACCCAAGAATTCAAGTTGTACCACGGGAGAGGAGGTCTTTACATCGGGAAGGCAGTCCTTAAAAACAACGTCTTCGTCTTGGACTTCGTTCCTGATCTCGGTACCGCTGACAGCGACGCCATAGTCAACTTCACCAACTGGACACACCCTCCAGATCTTGACCCTGACTTCAGTACAGGAGGCTTCTGGTATTCACATACCATTCCTGAAACAGAGAGAACAAGAGCATTAGCAGCGATTCAACAATCGGCAGCAGCAGAGACAACGTCGGCAGCAGCAGAGACAACGTCGGCAGCAGCAGAGACAACGTCGGCAGCAGCAGAGACAACGTCGGCAGCAGCAGAGACAACGTCGGCAGCAGCAGAGACAACATCGGCAGCAGCAGAGACAACAACAGCAACAGCGACAACGACGACACCAGTCGCCGGTCCTTCAACGACGGCGTTCTTCAACGACGATGCACCACCAACACCTGCACAACAGCTTCAGCCAGCACCACGAGAATTTCATCACAGTCCCAACTTCACCACCGGTCTCTACTCCAACTCCGACATGTACCAGCGCTCACCCGGTCATCGCGCCAACGAAGAAATCTGGCACGCAAGAATGGGACACCCAAGCAACACTGTGTTAAACAACACAATTCGAGCAGGAGTACTCGACAAGGACTCTCTGCTTTTAACAGACGGCAGAGAACTTCAGCGAGCTCGAGGAACATGCTTCACCTGCCCCGAAGCTGACTTACCGCATCAGCCCTTCGTTTCGCATCACAACCCAAGCGCACCTGCATATGCACCACTCGAGAAAGTATACAGCGACATCTTGTACAACCGCGAACCCGGACAAAACGCGTATAACTACACCATCACCTTCATCGACGCCGCTACACGTTACGTCTGGCACCTAAACTTACCAAGTCGCGACATGGCTTTCGAAGCTTTCGTGGCATGGCTTCCAGCAGCAGAACGGGAATCGGGAGCTAAGCTCAAAAGTTTCCAATCAGACGGAGGAGGAGAATACTCGTCACAGCGATTCAAGCAGTACCTGGCGGAGAAGGGAATCAAGAGACTCATCTCCCTTCCCTACGCCCATCAACAGCAGGGTGTAGCAGAAAGGATGAACAGGACTCTGCAGAACACCATGCGCAAACTGTTACGTGGCATGCGGCTACCCAACCACCAGTGGCCCGAAGCAATGGACCACGCCGTGATGCTGCACAACTTGCTTTCTTCGTCGTCACTCCCGAACAACACATCACCGCATCTGCTGTGGACAGGAAAACTGGGCAGCACAAAAATGTTACGAGTCTTCGGCTGCATGGTACAGTACCGACCCCCATCTGCACGAGCCGGCCGATTCTCTCAACGCGCACAGTGGGGACTACACCTGGGCATCGAAAAACATTACAACGCGTGGAAAATCTTCGACATCCACACCAAAGAAACAGTAGCAGCACGTGATGTCATTTTCTACGAACGACTCACGCTGCCAACGTACCTTGCCAACCTGGACGAAAATCGAGACCCCACAGGCGGCTTCCGTGGCGATCGAGCCTTCGCTTCGGCAGAAGACGAAGCTGACTGGGACGAGCAGAATGTGGAAGGAGCCTCGGAAGAAGCCGGACCTCTTCCCTACTGCTCAGTGGACGTACCGATGGACGAAGAAAACCCTCGCGAAAGCGTCAACGCCGAAACTTACTACCACTTCGCCGACAACGGTTACGTTACACCTGCTGAAGTCAACACCAACGAAGCAGAACGCATAGGGCCCAACTTCGCACCTGATCCAGAAGCTGGAGACGAGGCAGTCTATCCCGAGGACACCACACTCCCCCGCTACACACAGAGCGGACTCCAAATCCTTGGGCTCGTCACCGCGGTCCACGGCGCTGACATTCCTAAGGAGCCTGCAACAGTTCAGCAGGCTCTGGGGGGGGAGCATAAAGAAAAATGGCGCGAAGCCATGGACAAGGAACTGAAGGCATTAGAGGAACGCAACACCTGGAAAGTCGTTCCCATCGGCGTAGCGCGAAACAAGACCATTCTTACCGGGAAATGGGTCTTCCGTGTGAAGACGAAGGCCGACGGCACCATCGACAAGTTCAAAGCGCGTTGGGTCGTTCGCGGCTTCGACCAGGAACATGGACGAGACTTCACTGAAACCTTCGCTCCGGTCAGCCGCCACACTTCACTTCGAATTCTTCTCGCCATCGCCGCTATGAAGAAAAAGAAACTGCGCCAAATCGACGTCGCGAACGCATTTCTCTACGCACCGGTCGATGCAGAGATTTTCGTGGAACTACCGCACGGCTCCAACACAAATTCCACGCACGTCTGCCAGCTACTAAAATCGCTCTACGGGATCAAACAGGCGCCGCGACTGTGGCAGCAGTACCTGCATACTCGCCTCATCCGCATCGGCTTCAAACAACTCCCGCACGATCAGGGCATGTACCGCCTCACGAAGAACAGCGACTACATCTTGCTAATTGTCTACGTGGACGATCTTCTCTACATCGGCTCTACCGACGGCATCACCTGGTTCGAAGGGGAGCTGCAGAAGGACCTCACCCTCACTGTCTCATCTACCGTCACACAGTATCTCGGACTTAACATTCGAGAAGATAACGACGCGATCTACCTCAGCGCCGAAAAGTACGCCGACACCATCGCCAAACGATTCGGAATTACGCCAGCCGCGATCTCAACACCATACCGCTACACGACAGGAGCCGATAAGGAATCTGCCCCACTTAAGCCCGCCGGCATACGCGGCTATCAGAGGAAGCTAGGTTGCCTCCTCTTCGCAGCCGTCACTTGCCGACCCGACCTATCCTACTCCGCAAGCCAGCTCGCCACTCATCTCAAGAAGCCTGAAGCAGAACACCTGGCGGAACTTGACCGCGCTCTGCACTACTTTATCAGCACCGCAATGATCGGCTTAACTTATCACAAGAACGCAGCTACACCAACCAAGCTAATCGGCTACGTCGATGCCGATCACGCCGGCGACACTGACAACAGGCGCTCACGCACCGGCTATGTCTACCGCCTCGAGCCTATCGGTCCTATCTCCTGGCAGTCGAGCAAGCAGGAGTTAATTGCACTATCTTCAGCCGAAGCAGAATATATCGCGCTCTGCTCAGCCACCAAGGAGGGACTTTACCTTCGCGAGCTGCTGGAAGAAGCGAAGTTAGCCGAGTTACCCAACTTCACCGTGTTCTGCGACAACCAGTCAGCAATTCGTATCGCCAACAAGAACGGCTTCGCGAACAGGACGAAACACATCGCCCTGCGTTACTTCTTCGTAAAGGACGAGATCGAGAAGGGGAGACTCGAGCTGTCATACTGCCCCACATCCGAGATGGCAGCTGACTACTTGACCAAGAAACTCGGAAAGCAAAAGTTCGAGTATTGCATGCTGCTGACTGGACAGAGCCACGTCACCAGCAGCGACACTCCAGAAGCGAAGGGGAGTGTTGGAAACAATAAAACTTAAGCGCTTCAGTCGTGTCGAAAACACCGCATCAGAAGCGAGGCAAACTACACCGAAGCACCCGCGAGTCAACCCTCGGGGGTTGAAGAGGTTGCTGGAGGTTACGCGAAAGTCAAAGGTCAGCAACCTTTGACCCGACAAGTACAGCGCGACAGTTAAGGACATACAACTGACTCGTTACAGAGCAGTTGCCCGAGTCGTACTGTATCGAACCGCAACAGCAACAGTAAAAGTAGTTATAACTGTATCCTTTGATATTCCTTGCACTACTATATATTCTTGTACTTTCCTGTTATAATCAATCTACTTTGCCCTCACATACTAGCGCAAGGTGGTTCACAATTTCTTCACTGAAAGCTTCCGCTATTACAATTGTTCTATCTAGAGTTCTCCCCTGAAAAGATCCTAAGGGGCTATCTCAGCCCAACAACTTTGCCCTCACATACCAGCGCAAGGTGGTTCAAATCTCTTCATTAAACGCTTCCGCTATTACATCATCTCTACCCAGAGTTTACCCTTGCAAAGATCCTAAGGGCTGTCTCAGCCCAACATGGATGTCGTTTACGCCTTAAAACGGCAAGGCAGGACCCTTTACGGCTTCGATGGTTAGTTTGTGAGCCTGATCTATGTAGCGGACGGAGACGTCTTAGTGGACCTGTAGTTTTGTGTGTACGCTAAGCTGTTTACTCTAACCATCTGTTTTCTGACTACTAACTATTGAGAATAAAACCAAGTTGACCTATTGCGTTTGTGTTTAGCTGGTCTTGGAAAATTAGTCTACCGAATAGATGCGGAAGTGATCCGTTGACTGCTGTCAGCACCTTGATGGCGAATTTTCTTGCGTGATCAGTTTTTTGCCTTGCTGGTGACGATTTTGCACAAGATAAAAATGAAGGGGATTTCTTGCTACGTACGCCCTTTTTGTGTAAATTTTATTAATGTTCCCGTACAAAAAGCACTGTAAAAATAGGTTACGCTTTCAGACTTCCAATCTTCCTCGATATCTGATTGCTATGACCAGAATATGCCTGATAAATCTAGACACACCCTGTCGATTAGGCATGACTATTTTTCCTTTGTTCCATAAAAAGGCTTGTTAGTCAATGATAGCTTAGAGTTATATTACAATCAAGACACAACAAAGAGATACTATTAGACTAAGCACTTGTAAACTTCGTCACGGCTTTTGTTCCCTCAGACACGGCGTGCTTGGCCAGCTCTCCGGGCAGCGTCAACCGAACAGCCGTCTGAATCTCGCGAGACGTGATCGTCGGCTTCTTGTTGTACCGCGCAAGCTTTGACGCCTCCGTCGCAAGCTTCTCGAAAATATCATTTATGAAGGAATTCATGATCGACATAGCCTTGGACGAAATACCCGTGTCTGGATGAACCTGCTTTAGAACCTTGTAGATGTAGATCTTATAGGTTTCCGTGACGGCCTTGCGAGCCTTCTTCTTCTCTTTCTTGTCGCCGATGGGCTTTTTCCCGGCCGGAACGGCTTTCTTAGCGGCGGGCTCCTTCTTGGGTCCCTTTTTCGCGGCCTTCTGCTCCCCTTCTACCTTCGGCGCCATGTTAACGGAGTTAATCGACGAAGAAGTGGTTGAAAGGGAAAGAGAGCCTTGGAAAGTGACGGCAGGACGAAGCACTACAAAGCGGTGTTGTCACGAGCGCTGAACTAGGAAACAAACCAAGTTACGAAAAGCGAGAGGGGACGCTTGACATAAAATAGATTGTTCTGGCGGTGACGTATTTCAACATTTTGAAATGGTTGGGGAAGAGTATGGCTGGAGTTGCGTGCGTGGTGTGTGGGTTCTCGGGTATTGCTGCAAGGCTCGTAAGCTTTCAGCCAATGGGAGTCTGGGTGACAGATCGAAGCGTTCTCTATTGCCCGTCGATAAAATGCCATGACATTCGCTTAACCGTCAATAGAAGTTTTAGGCAGCTATCGCTTCCGCCTGTTTGTGAATCGTCCGATCTAATCCAACGGCGTATTGCTTGCGGTTGTGCATGCCGTGTTAACCTTGCGAAACCTAATTCGTCGGGTGCAACCCTCAACAGGTTGTCTAAGCTGTTGACCAATCCGATATCCTTGTTACAGAGTTTTTGGGATCGACGCGGATCAGGTTTAGCCGTCGATAGGCCTACTCAAAACTTTTCATCGACGACCAAGAAACTCAACACCGCCGAACAACGCGCCGAACCATCTCCAGTGTCACCAAAACATGAGACACCACAGCACGGCACAGCCCCGCTAGACAGGGCTGAGCGAACCCATCACCACCCCAAACCACGCAAGACCCAGACGCACCGCACCATCCACAGCCCACCCCACCCCACCCACACATTCCTTCTACCCGTCCCGCTTCCCCAGCCGTAGTAGTGTGGAATAAAGGAGCAGTAAATCGCTCCTGAGTTCTACCATACCAGTTCTCTCCAAGTTCAGTTTCCAGTTCCTTCGATTCGAATCCATTGCGGAGATAGAGGAGAGGCATCAAGACTTCATTGCGGAGCTCCACATCTCCTTGACCTTGAGCCTGATTGAGTTCCAATTGCGTCACACTTTGAGGATCAGCTTTCTTGAAGGCTTTCAACCGTGTTTGTGTGTGCGGTTAATATTCTTTAATCACCATGTCGGGACGCGGCAAGGGAGGCAAAGGCCTTGGAAAGGGAGGCGCGAAGCGTCACAGGAAGGTTCTTCGCGATAACATCCAGGGCATCACCAAGCCGGCTATCAGGCGTCTCGCTCGCCGCGGCGGCGTCAAGCGTATCAGCGGTCTAATCTACGAGGAGACACGTGGCGTGCTAAAGGTGTTTCTTGAGAATGTCATTCGCGACGCTGTGACTTACACGGAGCACGCGCGGAGAAAGACCGTCACCGCCATGGATGTGGTTTATGCTTTGAAACGGCAAGGCAGAACACTATATGGCTTCGGCGGCTAGGTCACGATGAAGTAGCTTAGACATGTAGAAGTTGTAGCCTTTACCATAGTTGCCAGTTAGCATTGTGACCGATTTTGTTGTTTCCAGTTATGATTGTACAAAGAACCTTTACTGCTATACCCTTGAGCCTTGCCAACAAGAGTCCAGTACGGACTGGATGTGCATCCCGCTGGTCCTAACCATCGTTTCAGTGGACTGACATAGTGACTTCTAGGATTGCAAGGATGGAAAACGGTTTTCAAGCCAATAGCGGGAAATATGGCTTCTATGCTAGGCGTAAACAGTGATGGTAAATATGCGTTACAACATTATTCATAGGAGAAACACTCTAAATCGAGCAAGCAGTGAGCTACTGTTGAAACTATCATATCTGAACAAAAGAGCCACTATCAGCAATTCTGGTTGCTGCTTCACATCCCGCTGCTGTGCTAGTGTGGCGTTGTTGCTTCTCAACATACCCCACCATTATCCTCCCAATTACTTGGCAGCAGCAGGAGGCGGCGCCCTGGCACTGAGAATGCTGAGCCATGCCACCACACCCACGCTCAGAATCACCCACCCTGCCACGTCATACCACAGATCGCTGCTCTTCTTTTTCTTCTGGACCTGCAAAGGAGGAAGCAGCCACAGCCATACGAAGTGGTGAGACTCTTCAAATCACCACTCTGCTCTGCAGCTCGATAGAAATAAACAGGCCCGTTGACATCGGCTGACATGGCAGAAGTATGCGCACACCAAAGAAAAAACAATCACGAGTCAGAATAGACTTTTGACTCAAAAGTCCACTCAATATGTGCACACAAAGAAAACAATCAGGAGTCAGAATAATGCATACAAGGATGTGCACAGGGATGCACGCGAGGAGGTGCGTTACCTGTGTATTACCGGTAAAATGAGCAGGGAGAATTGGCGACAACAGGGTTGAGTGTACCAGGAACAGGGAGAGTGGAACGTCGTTCTATCGATATACCTTGGGAGCATCCAGGGAGGCCGGATGCACAACCGCCCCCAGCGCAGCACCTGCTGCTGCCCCAGCCGGCCCCAGTAACCAGTGCACTAGAAACAGGGTGAGCGAGCGCATCAAAGGTTCATCATACCTTGGGAGCATCCATAAAGATGGATGCACGCACAACGGCTCCCAGCACCCGTTGCAGCCCCAGCCCCCCCAGTAACAGAGATAACTGGGAGTGCACTCGAAACACGGTGAGTGAATCACTGTTCGAATCATCATACCTTGGGAGCGTCCATGGATGACGGATGAACAGCCGCTCCCAGCGCCTGCTGCAGAGCCATCTGCTTCTGCACCTCTTGATGCAACTCAGGACCCTGCAATTGGATTAGGGAATGAAAGTGTCTCATATATGGCAAACGAAACAAGAGACGCAGAGCAGTTTCCGAGGCCCCAGTGCCTGCTGCTGCAGTGCCATCTGCTTCTGAACCTCTTGATGCAAGTCCGGGTCCTGCAATTAGGTTAAGGGGCCTGCAATTAGGTTTAAGGGGAATAATAATGATTATTGACATGAGCCAGAGGTTGTACACTTTCCAAGCAATCTGCTTCTCCTCTCCGCTCCTGATGCATCTCAGTAAAAACACCAGGATTGAGACGCAAAAACGGATTGACATCACGCAAAGAGAACACAGCGAAAGTCACCCAAACATGTCTCACCTTCAGTGAGATCTCCCCAGACAAGCTAGAAGGGGCCTCCCAATCGCCAGGAAGAGTTCAGCTACACATGCAGGAAGCACAGGCCACCCCTTCCCCTAACGGGTCTCACCTTGAGTGAGATCACGTGACAACAGGGGACCTCCAAATTGCCAGGAAAAGTTCAGCTACGCATGCACGAAGCACAGGCAAAGCACGCCCAAGCGGGTCTCACCTTGAGTGAAATCTCCAGGGACTTGCGATAAGCGTCGTTGCTTGGGTCCTGCCATGAGATGAGGGGGGGAGAAGAGAAGCAACAAAGGACAGAGAACGTTCCAAACTTGAAAAGCCGCTCAAGGATGGGAGGAGGAGGAGGAGAAAGGAGGAAGGCGAAACATACAGCAAATAAAAGAGACGCGATCAAGGCAACAGACTGATTGTAATCAGTCAAGTAGATTGCAGAGCGTAAGACTGAAGTCTGAAAGGGTGACGCTAGGTCTGTGAACGCTTTTGAGGCGCCTCAAAAGATGCAATCAATTAGATTGCACCCAGAGCTTAAGGCTGAAGTCTGAAAGGGTGACGCTAGGTCTGTGAACGCTTTTGAGGCGCCTCAAAAGATGCAATCAATTAGATTGCAGAGCGTAAGACTGAAGTCTGAAAGGGTGACGCTAGGTCTGTGAACGCTTTTGAGCCGCCTCAAAAGATGCAATCAATTAGATTGCAGAGCGTAAGGCTGAAGTCTGAAAGGGTGACGCTAGGTCTGTGAACGCTTTTGAGGCGCCTCAAAAGATGCAATCAATTAGATTGCAGAGCGTAAGACTGAAGTCTGAAAGGGTGACGCTAGGTCTGTGAAGGCCGATCTGTATGTTAACAAATCCCACATACAGTAAACCACAGAACCGCACTGAACCACGACGTGCCGCCTTCAACGCCTCCCTGAAGCAGTCAGAGGCCTTCTCAAAGCTGACATTCGCCAGGGTGGCATCAGGCGTCTGAAAACCCCTGGCGGTGTGCGAGTTGGCAACCCCACCAGGTAGTTAACCACAGAGAACCCCACTGCACCGCACTGACTGAACCACTACCTACCCCGTCCAACTCCTTCCTGAAGCAGTCGGAGGCCTTCTCAAAGCTGACGTTTACCAGGGTGCCATGAGGCGCGTCTGAAAGCCCCTTGCGGTGTGCGCATTGCCGAGCCATATAGGAAAACCATACCCCAACATGCTAAACCCCGACGAGCCATACTGAACCGCACTGAACCACGACGTACAGCATCTAGCGCCTTCCTGAAGCAGTCGGAGGCCTTCACAAAGCTGACGTTGGCCAGGGTGGCATCGGGCGTCTGAAAGCCCCTCGTGGTGTGCGCGTGTTGTTAACCCCACCAGCTAGAGAACCACAGGGAGGGAATCACACTGAACCGCACTGAATCGTGGCCTACCGCGTCCAGAGCCTTCCTGAAGCAATCGGATGCCTTTTCAAAGCTGACGTTCGCCAGGGTAGCGTCAGGAGTCTGAAAGCCCCTGGTGGTGTGCGCGTTGCCGAGCCACCACAGGGTGTCCGGACGAGAGGGGGCGATCTTCAGTGCTTCATCGAATTTCGACACGGCATCTGATGGGATGGGAGGGGGCGTGGGGAGGGAGAGGGGAGGAACATTGGGCATCAGGCGTCTGAAAGCCCCTCTGGTGGGGTGTGCGTTACCAAGCCACCACAGGGTGTCGGGGCGAGAGGGGGCGATCTTCAGTGCTTCATCGAACTTGGATACAGCATCTGAAGGGAGAGTGCGTGGGGAAGGAGAGGAGAGGGGAGGAACATTGGGCATCAGGCGTCTGAAAGCCCCTCTGGTGGGGTGTGCGTTACCAAGCCACCACAGGGTGTCGGGGCGAGAGGGGGCGATCTTCAGTGCTTCATCGAACTTGGATACAGCATCTGAAGGGAGAGTGCGTGGGGAAGGAGAGGAGAGGGGAGGAACATTGGGCATCAGGCGTCTGAAAGCCCCTCTGGTGGGGTGTGCGTTACCAAGCCACCACAGGGTGTCGGGGCGAGAGGGGGCGATCTTCAGTGCTTCATCGAACTTGGATACAGCATCTGAAGGGAGAGTGCGTGGGGAAGGAGAGGAGAGGGGAGGAACATTGGGCATCAGGCGTCTGAAAGCCCCTCTGGTGGGGTGTGCGTTACCAAGCCACCACAGGGTGTCGGGGCGAGAGGGGGCGATCTTCAGTGCTTCATCGAACTTGGATACAGCATCTGAAGGGAGAGTGCGTGGGGAAGGAGAGGAGAGGGGAGGAACATTGGGCATCAGGCGTCTGAAAGCCCCTCTGGTGGGGTGTGCGTTACCAAGCCACCACAGGGTGTCGGGGCGAGAGGGGGCGATCTTCAGTGCTTCATCGAACTTGGATACAGCATCTGAAGGGAGAGTGCGTGGGGAAGGAGAGGAGAGGGGAGGAACATTGGGCATCAGGCGTCTGAAAGCCCCTCTGGTGGGGTGTGCGTTACCAAGCCACCACAGGGTGTCGGGGCGAGAGGGGGCGATCTTCAGTGCTTCATCGAACTTGGATACAGCATCTGAAGGGAGAGTGCGTGGGGAAGGAGAGGAGAGGGGAGGAACATTGGGCATCAGGCGTCTGAAAGCCCCTCTGGTGGGGTGTGCGTTACCAAGCCACCACAGGGTGTCGGGGCGAGAGGGGGCGATCTTCAGTGCTTCATCGAACTTGGATACAGCATCTGAAGGGAGAGTGCGTGGGGAAGGAGAGGAGAGGGGAGGAACATTGGGCATCAGGCGTCTGAAAGCCCCTCTGGTGGGGTGTGCGTTACCAAGCCACCACAGGGTGTCGGGGCGAGAGGGGGCGATCTTCAGTGCTTCATCGAACTTGGATACAGCATCTGAAGGGAGAGTGCGTGGGGAAGGAGAGGAGAGGGGAGGAACATTGGGCATCAGGCGTCTGAAAGCCCCTCTGGTGGGGTGTGCGTTACCAAGCCACCACAGGGTGTCGGGGCGAGAGGGGGCGATCTTCAGTGCTTCATCGAACTTGGATACAGCATCTGAAGGGAGAGTGCGTGGGGAAGGAGAGGAGAGGGGAGGAACATTGGGCATCAGGCGTCTGAAAGCCCCTCTGGTGGGGTGTGCGTTACCAAGCCACCACAGGGTGTCGGGGCGAGAGGGGGCGATCTTCAGTGCTTCATCGAACTTGGATACAGCATCTGAAGGGAGAGTGCGTGGGGAAGGAGAGGAGAGGGGAGGAACATTGGGCATCAGGCGTCTGAAAGCCCCTCTGGTGGGGTGTGCGTTACCAAGCCACCACAGGGTGTCGGGGCGAGAGGGGGCGATCTTCAGTGCTTCATCGAACTTGGATACAGCATCTGAAGGGAGAGTGCGTGGGGAAGGAGAGGAGAGGGGAGGAACATTGGGCATCAGGCGTCTGAAAGCCCCTCTGGTGGGGTGTGCGTTACCAAGCCACCACAGGGTGTCGGGGCGAGAGGGGGCGATCTTCAGTGCTTCATCGAACTTGGATACAGCATCTGAAGGGAGAGTGCGTGGGGAAGGAGAGGAGAGGGGAGGAACATTGGGCATCAGGCGTCTGAAAGCCCCTCTGGTGGGGTGTGCGTTACCAAGCCACCACAGGGTGTCGGGGCGAGAGGGGGCGATCTTCAGTGCTTCATCGAACTTGGATACAGCATCTGAAGGGAGAGTGCGTGGGGAAGGAGAGGAGAGGGGAGGAACATTGGGCATCAGGCGTCTGAAAGCCCCTCTGGTGGGGTGTGCGTTACCAAGCCACCACAGGGTGTCGGGGCGAGAGGGAGCGATCTTGAGTGCTTCATCGAACTAGGATATGGCATCTGACGGGAGGGGCGTGGGGCGCAACATTTAGGGAGGGGATGGGAAGGGGAGAGAGGCGAAGGAGGTGCACAAAAGAGTGTGGAATCCCCTGGTGGTGTGTGCATTGCCAAGCCACCACAGGGTGTCCGGGCGCGAGGGGACTTTTGAGTCGACTCAAGAATCCCCTGGTGGTGGGCGCATTGCCGAGCCAAGCCACTACGGGGTGTCCGGGCGCGAGGGGGCAATATTGAGCGCCTCATCAAACTTCGACACGGCATTTGATGGTAGGGCGTGGGGAAGGAGAGGGCAGGAACATTGGGCATCAGGCATGAAAGCCCCTGGTGGTGGTGGTGTGTGAATTGCCGAGCCAAAAGACGGTGTTGGGGCGAGATAGGGCGACCTCGAGGCCCTCATCAGATTTAGATACAGCATCTGAAGAGAGAAGTCGGGGAGGGGAGGGGAGGCAAAGGAGTGTGCGTTGCCAAGCCACCAGAGGGTGTAGGGGCGATCGGGGGCAATCGTCAGGGCTTCATCGATTTGATACAGCATCTGGCAGAAGCGAATGCAAAGGAAGGGAGAGGAACATTTGAAAAGTGGAGGGGAGGAGAGGGGAGGGGAGGGGAGGGGAGGGGAGGGGAGGGGAGGGGAGGGGAGGGGAGGGGAGGGGAGGGGAGGGGAGGGGAGGGGAGGGGAGGGGAGGGGAGGGGAGGGGAGGGGAGGGGAGGGGAGGGGAGGGGAGGGGAGGGGAGGGGAGGGGAGGCAAAAGAGTGTGCATTGCCGAGCCACCAGAGGGTGTCGGGGCGAGAGGGAGCGACCTTTGACAGCTTAGGTGACTCTTGAGTCGACTCAAAAGTCACCCAGAGGGTGTCGGAGTGAGAGGGAGCGACCTTGACGGCTTAATCGAACTAGAAGACGGCAGGAGGCAGGGTGGGGAAGAGGAGGGGCATTCAAAAAGAGGGGAGGGGGGGGGGGGGGGGGGGGGGGGGGGGGGGGAAGAGGTGAAGGGAGGGGAGGGAAACGGGGCAAAAGGGTGCATTGTAACACTCACGTGAGTGATTTTTGAGAATTCTAAAAAATCACTTACAGCATCTCGCTCGACTCCAGTTCACACGGGGATTGAATGAAACTCACTACAAGCACCGTTTTGGCTAGTTATAGGCAGCCCCGTTACAAGCACTCTGGTTACACTCACCATCCAGCATCTCGTTGGACTCTTGCCCCTGGATGAACTGCGCAAGTCCACTTTATCAACAGCCTTTTGACTCGTTAAGAGCAGCCTCGTTACACTCACCGTCCAGCATCTCGTTGGACTCTTGCCCCTGGATGAACTGCGCCAGCTCCACCAGTGTCCGGCCGAGCTTCGTGAGGTTCTGCATCCGAGGCATGGAGGGGAGGAAGGGCATGAGGCAGGAAAGCAGAGGAGTGGAGAAGGAGAGGGGCAGAGGAGCAAGAAATGAACCCATTAGACTCTCCTGCCCCTGACTGAATGAATGAATCAACTGCGCCAGCTCCACCAGCGCCCTCCGCCAAGTTTGATCAGATTCTGCAAGGAGGGAGGCAGAAGGGCATAAGAGGGCAAAGGAGTGCAGAGGGGTAGAGAACAAACTCGTTGGACTTCTGACCCTGAATGAACTGCGCCAGCTCCACCGGCGTTCGGCCCAGCTTATCAGATCCTGGGGAGCACAGGTGACTTTTGAGTCGACTCAAAAAGTGTCGTGTGCCATTGTAACGAGGTGACTTTTGAGTCGACTCAAAAAGTGTCGTGTGCCATTGTAACGAGGTGACTTTTGAGTCGACTCAAAAGTCACCTCAAACTCGTTGGACTTCTGACCCTGAATGAACTGCGCCAGCTCCACCGGCGTTCGGCCCAGCTTATCAGATCCTGGGGAGCACAGGGAGAAGGTACGGAGAGGAGCAGATGAGCAGATGACTTTTGAGGCGCCTCAAAAGTCACAGAGAAGGTACGGAGACGAGCAGATGAGCAGATGAGAAGATGAGCAGATGAGCAGATGAGCAGATGAGCAGATGAGCAGATGAGCAGATGAGCAGAGAAGAAGAAAAGAAGGCAAGCAGTGATGCAGAAATACTCGAAGCAGAGAAGCAGCGAGGCAGAGCAAGTAGGAAAGCAAGGACCAAACCTCGACGGAATTGAAGTTGACTCAAAAGAGCCGTGTTTTGAGTCGACTCAAAACGAAGCAGAGAAGCAGTAAAGCAAGGACCAAATCTCGACGGACTTTGCAAGGGTTCGACGACAACAGCGCCTGACAGCTGGACGACTCATTCCCCGCACTTGCGACGAATCCGCGCTTTGCGACCGCAACCTGCGACCGTACCTGCGATCGCATCAGCGACCGTACCTGCGAACAGTACCTGGGACAATACCTGCGGTCGACCTGCGACAGTTCCTGCGACCGCACCTGCGACAGCCTCTGTGACCATACCTACGACCATACCTACATGTGTTGCTGAATTCTCAGCGCACCCAAATCTGCTCCACCGTCTGTTCGAAGCACATGATTCGCACTTCAATCGTACAACACTTGAACCAATAGCCCCCGTGAAAGCACTCACATCGGCGTCATGTGGGTTCTTCTTGAACTCTCCCATGGCCTGCTCCCTCGACTATTCGAAGATCATGACTCGCATTTCAAACGTACACCACTTGAACCGAAAGGCCCCGTGAAAGTACTCACATCGGCGTCATGTGGGTTCTTCTTGAACTCTGCCATCGCCTGCTCCCGCGTCTGCTCGAAGAACATGATTCGCTCGAAGTCTTCCCTTGGGATCTCCATTCTCCCACGCTAACCGTCAACCGTCTGGTCCTTGACTGTAACCGTCAGATCCTTGACGGTGAACGTCTGACTGTGACCTTTACTGTTTGATTCTAAGCCGGTGGCGGTTGATCTCAGTCGTTTACGTCCGATCGTCAACCGTGACAACCGCTGACGACTTATCCTTGAACCGTCACCGTCGGACCCTCGTCTGGGATATCGGCAAATTAAGTCTATTGCTACCTGATCGAAGCGCGATAAGACCCCTCAAACTCTCACCTCTAAACCCTATAATGCTAACCGGAGACGCAAACGACAAAAGCGCGAGCGGTCGTCGCAGCGTTCTAACCTGCCGCGAATCTAGCTAGGTTCAGGCAGGTAGTCTAGGGGGTAACTTGGGAGGTGCTACAAGGTGAGAAGGTGACAGGTCGGAGGAAAAATACGGTTTGGGTGGGGCGAGAAGAAGGGTGGGGACAAGCAGGAGGTTTGTGTGGAGTGATTACTTCTCAGGGCTTTAGCGACAGGCGAAATCTGTTGCGAAACAATAGATAACCAGTGGATACGAGTAGTCCGCGAACTTCCCGAGGAAGTTGGGAGGAGGAGTACGCGATATTAGAAATTCAATAGAAGTTAGCAGCTCGACTGAAAATGTGTCACACAACTAGGTACATCTGGAGTTGTCAAACACCTAAGGCTGATAGATAAACAGCTCCCTTCCATTCATTGGCAGTTATATGGTTATGTATGATATACACAACTAGGTAAATCTCGAGTCATCAAACACCCAGGGCTCATGGATAAACAGCTCCCTTCCATTCATTGGCACTCGCCCTGCCGCTATGTCCTCCGCTCGTTTCCGTGCTGCCTCCTCTTTCCTTGCACTTTCCTCTTGATCCTAAACCATAAGAGAGAAGGACGGGATAAGACAGAACCAAAATCAGATGTGCAAGGGGGTAAATTCCGAAAGAACTTCGGTTGAGGACAACGGAGAGGGAATGAACAGCTAATCGCTGACAAGTCCACAGCTGCAACAGAAACAGTAAACTGACCCACATCGGGTGATGGATTCAAGGCAACCGGACAGCCATGAATGCCCCCCCACACACTGGAAGAAATTCCAACTTCACACATGCAATGAAGCCATCCTTCTTCCCATCCTTCACATACAATGACAGCTCACTTTCAAGCACACCTTTTTGGCCTTCCACTCGTGGTACTGCTCCAGAGTCATTGGCACACCGCCCTCAGCTGCTAGCTCCCCTGGCAGTTTCTATCCACAGGCAAATGAACTGCCGGTCCCTGTCAACTGGACAGAGCATGGTTCTAGAGCACACCTGAAACCGCACCTTCCTGGCTTTCCATGCGCGGTACTGCTCCAGAGTCATAGGCGTGCGCCCCTCAGCTGCTGGCTCTGTCGGCAGGTTCTCATCCACAGGCGTATAGACAAAGCATGGCTCTAGCACACCTCAATGCGCACCTTCCTGGCCTTCCACTCGCGGAACTGCTCCAGGGTCATAGGGGTGCGGGCCTCAGCTGCTGGCTCTGCTGACAGGCTCCCATCCACAGGTGAATGAACTGCTGCTGGAACCTTCATTGGGAGAGGAAACAGCCCCAGCACACTTGATAGCGCACCTTCCTCGCCTTCCACTCGCGGAACTGCTCCAGGGTCATAGGGGTGCGGGCCTCAGCTGCTGGCTCTACTGATAGGTTCTCATCCACAGGTGAATGAACTGCTGCTAGAACCTTCATTGAGATAGAAACCCTAGCACAGCTGATAGAGCACCTTCCTGGCCTTCCATTCACGGTACTGCTCCAAAGTCATTGGCACACGAGCCACCACATCGCCCTCAGCTGCTGCCTCCCCTGGCAGGCAGGTGAGACTCAGTCACAGCACAGCCTTCAAACACATCTCACCTTCCTGGCCTTCCATCCGCGGTACTGCTCCAGCGTCATTGACACACGAGCCAGCACGCCGCCCTCAGCTGCTGCCTCCCCTGGCAGGTTCCCATGCACTAGTAGCAAGCAAGGGCCCTGGCACACCCTAAACCGCACCTTCCTGGCCTTCCACGCACGGTACTGCTCCAGAGTCATTGGCGTGCGGCCCTCCGCCACTGGCTCCCCTGAGAGGTTCTCATCCACAGGTGAATCGACTGCTGGTTCCGCTTGCTCCCCTGCGCCTAAAAACTCTGCTCCCATGGCACCTCTGGGCTTTTGAGGCGCCTCAAAGGTGCCTGCTGGGTTGCATGAGGAAAGAGAAGAGATCAAGAAGGGAAGGGGGGATTTGGCGCGATCCCTTGCGTCTAAATACTCTGCTCCCATGGCACCTGCTGGGCTGCATGATGAAAGGGAAGATCAGGAGTGGACGGGGGGGCTTAAAGCCTCATCACAACTCATCCACAGACACATCGACAGCTGGTTCCACTCGTGCCCCTGCGTCTAGATACTGCGCTCCCATGGCGCCTGCTGGTAGGGGAGGTGGTGACGAGATGCAAGCCCGAAGGGTTGAATGAGGAGGATGAAGGGGTATTCGTGGCGGTCTATTTTGAATCGACTGAGAAGTGGACTCATCACACGGGACGTGGTGACGGGATGTGGGACGGATCAAGGGTGGAATGAGACAGATGAAGGGGTATTCGTGGCGGTCTATTGTTGAGTCGACTCAAGAATAGACTCATCACACGGGAGGGGGTGACGGGATGCGAGGCCGAAGGGTGGAGTGAGACGGATGAAAGGGGTATTCGTGGCGGTAGTAGTGATGAATTGGTGGGGTAGCACGGCGGAAGAATACGCCTAAAAATGACAATCCACGTGGTATAAAGCCACATTACTGTTTGAAATTGCAGTTGATACTGATGTCTTTTCTTAGGAGCCGGTAAGATTTTCCTCCTTGTCCCTTAAGACAAACGCCACGCCGCCAGTTGCGCTGGCATGCGAGGGATGGAGCGCAGAGGACGCACTTGTATGGCAACGTAATCCAACGGCTGACATTCAAGATGACTTTTGGAATTACTTTCGAGTCTGATCAAGGGCAGGCGAGGGATGAATAGCGAAACGCACCTTTTCGGCAAGATAATTCGCAAATCACGAGAGAGAAGCGCGTGGATGCGGACGCAGGGACGGGGGCCCGTGTACGGATGAAGGGGTGTGCCTAATTCGTGACGACGCGCGAGCGCGACGGCGGCAGGCGCTGGCGAAGCTACGCGAACGAGTGCGAAGCTATGCGAGGAGCTACTAGGAGTTGCGAAGCTATGCGACGAGGTGTTAGGAGTGGCGAGGCGATGCGACTAGATACAACGAGTGGAACTACAGCAAATACTAGGAAATAATGGGACCACCACAGCAGTGTTGGCTGACAGAGGCAGACAGGCGTGTGTGGTGTAGTATACTGTGGTACGGTGCGGTGTGTGGTGGTGTGCTGCTGGATCATATTTTCCTCGGCAAAAGCAGTTCTGGTTGCAAATCTGGTCTGTACATTATGGATACGCAAAAGTTGAGAGGATTTTGTTGTTGTTTGAAGCGTTAGCGAAGTGACGGTGTTGTATGTTGTCGATGCTGTCTATAAGAATACTGTTCTCGGGTCAACGGAAACTTCGAACAACCCTGACGCAGTCAGTTGGGTTATGTTCGCTGATAGGCCCGTAGAATGCTCTGAACCGTAGCAAAACATAATACTACCATCCGAGACCATACCGCTGTGCGGTCAGCTCTCGACCAGCAGCGCGGCGCCACACTGAAAAATGCACTGACGGGGAGGGGAGACCACCATTCTCAGGACGCGGTAAAAAGTGAGAATCGATCGCCTCAGGGTCGTTTTTTAGCGCGGTTGTAAACGGTTTCGTTATTTTTTTATACAAAACAAAAGGTTTCAGTGCGGTGACAGGATCGATCTTCCCCCGATCGAACACTTTTATCACGTCCTCATCAGTCTCCCTCACGCCACACCAAGCGGGAAAAATCCCTCCATTCCATCCCATTCTCTTGTCGCGCGACATAGCGCGCTTCGCTGAACACTGTTTCCAGAAATCCAGATTTCAACCGCTGACAGGATTTCACCACGCAACCCAACCCGACCTTCGCACCTCAACTGCTCCCCCCAACTCATTTCCCACAGTTTTTCAATGAAGACCTGCTATCATCGTGGCGGTTCGATTCCATGCTGCTTGAAACGCGATCAGCATAAGTACCGGACTGATCCCAATAACTTATCAGTCGAGTCATCTTCTTTGTCGATCAAATTAGTAACTTATCCTTGAGATTTAAATTCCTGGAATATTTCCTACTCGGATCAGCCGGCAAGCCCCCTAGCCGACTCAAACCGCTCAATCAGCCCTGCTCGCACCGCGATCACAATGACTTCCATCACTCGTTTCCTCCTCCTGGCGCTCGTGTCGGCCGCTATCGTCGCCCTCTCCTCCGAAACACCCCTACTGCGAGCAGCAGCCGCTTCTGAAACCGACTCCGGCGCCAAATCCGAAGCGCTTACCGCGTCGCGCCCGTTTGGCGCCACCAACGGTGATCGAACTGACGCATTGGGGAGCGATGGTAGGCGCGAGCTCAAATCCTCCAGCGAATCTCACTTCTCCTCTTCCTCGTCTAGTCACACCAGCAAGACTGGCGAGGCCAAAAGCAGCAGCAGCGGTGGCGGTAACGGCGGCAGCGGCAGCGGGTCATACAAGACGAGGAAGCACGGGAAGCGGAGCGCGGCGAGCAACGGAGAAGGCGGCGCGGGTTACTGCCCCTACGCGGGCCGCCCGGGCAATTCGCCGCCCAGCATCTTCTGCGGCGGCGCCTGCTGCATCGTACGTCCCCCTCCCCCCTCCCAAATCCCCCGCAACCCCCCGCCACCCCCCTCTTCTGCCCCTATCCTTCCCCTTCCGCCCAGCATCTTCTGCGCGGAGCCTGCTGCATCGAACGTTCTCCCTTTTTTTTTTCAGGCCTCATCCTTCCCCTTCCTGCCTCTCCTCTCCTTTCCCATTGTCCCGTCCGTCACCTTCGTCCCTTTCCCTTTCCCTTTCTTTCCCCATTCCCCGTTTTCCTGTTCACCCCATTCTCCCTTCCTCCCTTCCGCCCTCCCCTCCCTCCTCCCCCCCCTCTTCCTCTCCCCCCTCTCTCTCCTTGTTTCCCCCTCTCCTGATTTCTCTCCCACCTTGATCAAGCAGCCTCAAATTTAGAAACGCTTGAGTTCGCACTTCCTCTCTCCCAAATCCTCAGATGTCCGAGTGTCCGTGCTATGTGCGTAGTCCGCTGCAAGAGGGAAGGCTGCTGTGCTGTGTAGTTCCATATTCACCTTTCTGCTGAGTGGTCTTTTGACCAACTATTCTCTTAGCAATAAATCCTTCCCCTCCACCCCCTCCACCTCCTCCTTTTTGTTTTTTGGTAAACCCACAGGACTCGGAGTACCCGTGCTGCAGAGGCCAGATGTGCTGCAAGAGGGGAGGGTGCTGCTGCTTTAATGCATAAAGTATACACTGTTTGATGTGTGCCAACCCTCTTATATTTCCTTTTTCTTTTGTAATCTACAGGACTCAGAGTACCCGTGCTGCGGAGGCCAGATGTGCTGCAAGAGGGGAGGGTGCTGTTCCAAGAACGGGAGGCCCCACTGCTGTTGAGGGCGTGTTCAGAGTCATTCTTCCCAAGGCAATTCCCATCCTGGATGTCAACTAGATTACAGTAACGAGGGTTTGTGCCAGTTACCAGATCATGGCATGTTGAGGAAGCTTATCATTTTAGTGCAAGGAGAAGCCAAGCCATACATATTACCCCCTTTGTGTGTTAAGCCCTCAACCCCAAACTGGCCAACCAGTGGATGTTGAAAGCAAAGAAACTGATCAGGGGAAGAAAGCAACCAGTGTTGTTTTCGTGCTGTGGCATCTCTGCAAGGTCAGAAGCACAGGCAGGGAACGCTCTTGGTAGAGGGGTTGCAGTGGAGGTCCCTCGTTGGTGGAGGACAGATCAATTGGGTGAGCAGCGAGCACCTTGCTGCCGTTCCTCCCTCAGGTGCAAGGATGGGATGATTAGAAGTTGAAACCCGGTCCATAACAAGTCACCATCACCACCACATGAAGTTTTTTTCTGAGGCGCCGCAAAAAGCCCACCCACCATGAAATGTGTCTATTGTGCACCTTGCTGCTGTCCCAGTGGGTTTACAGTGGAGGTCAGTCTTTGCTGATGGGTTTTTAGATTGAACGACCAAGCTGGAGTTGGAAGTCAGCAGCATGCATCGAGGGTGCAGGTGATTGGACATGTGTGAATGAGAAAAATCATGTGCCACAGGCAAGAGGAGGCTCACAGCAGCGATGGTAGTCTCATTGTGTGAACTTTTTTATTGGTAGGTGTCAATCAGCACCATTTTTTAATTTACGAAAAAGTTTTATTAGGACTTGTTTGGATATGCTAGAGATAGGTAGGCTTAAATCGAACCGCCGAACAGAGCAGTAAGGGATACGTGAAATCCACTTTACCCCATGCTCACCTCATCACCAACACACGTACCTGCGACGCCGCTAATCCCGCAAAGAATTCGAATCCAGACGGCGCGCGACTACACATTTCCCCCAGACACCGCGCGCCATTCCACGTGTTGATCCGCGAGTGGGTCATGGGCGTTCCATGGGCTCGTTAGGGTTGACCTCCTCCTGGCCAATCCACATTCAGTCAACTCGACAGATTCCGTCTTGTCTAACCAACTACTCAATTTCTCGATTTAGGGCCAGGGATTCTCCAATAGGACGCCTTGGGAATACCGTGCTGCCGGGTTGGCGAGAGTTTTCAAGCAACCAGCGGCAGGGCTTGAGGTTACTGCAAAAGGCGGTTCGCCTGTCGTGTAGCGCCGAACGGGTGCAGCGATTCGCTGGTGGAAGCACCGTGACGAGCGAAGTGACAAGCGGCGGTGAAAGCGGCGGGGCAATGGCGAGCGGCGGTAGAAGCGAGGAGGCGGAAAACGTGGATGGCGGGGAGGGGGGTGTGGGAATGGAGATGCGCGGAGTGCTGTTCCGGTGGGGGGAAATGGGTGTCAAGGTGCGTCCTCGTTACAGTGCGCACTCGTTACAAGCATGCATCCTCCATGGGAGGGGGTGTGGGAATGGAGATGCGAGGGGTGCTGTTCCGGTGGGGGGAGATGGGCGTTAAGGTGCGTCCTCGTTACAGGGCGTTCTCGTTGTAAGCATGCATCTCATATGACGGGGCGGGGAGGGGGGTGTGGGGATGGAGATGCGAGGGGTGCTGTTCCGGTGGGGGGAGATGGGCGTTAAGGTGCGTCCCCGTTATAATGCGTCCTCGTTATAGTGCGTCCTCCTTATAGAGCGTCCTCGTTATAGTGCGTCCTCGTTATTTACATGCATCCTCTATGGCGGGGCGGGGGGCGTGGGGATGGAGATGCGCGGAGTGCTGTTCCGGTGAGGGGAGATGGGCGTGAAGGTGCGTCCCCGTTCCATTATAGTGTGTCCTCATTATAAGCACGCATCCACTATGGCGGGGGGGGGGGGGGGGGTGGGGAATGGAGATGGGGTGCTGTTCCGGTGAGGGGAGCTGGGTATCAAGGTGCGTCCCCGTTATAGTGCGCGCTCATTATAAGCATGCTTCTCCAATGTCGCTTCCGCTCGTCCGACTTCCCCCACCACGTCATCATCCTAGTTGGGGGGAGAGGGGGTTGAGCGCAGCGGGGGAGGGGGAGGCGGGGGGAGCAGGGAGCGAGGGAGAGTGGGGACTCAATCTTGTCTCTTCCCCCCTTCCCATGTCATTTTCCCAGTCTTCCCAACCTTCTCTCCGTCCCCTCTCAGATCGCGTTCCGCCTGTCCCGCCTCAGATAGCTCGCCCGACTTCCCCTGCCACGTCATCATCCCAGGGAAGGAGCGAGTTACAGATAACACCCCCTCCTACCACCTCTCCCCCCCTTCACCTCCCAGGTTGCTTTCTGCTCGTCCGATTTCCCCAGCAAGTCACCATCTAGGGAAGGGGAAGGGTAACAGATACCAAACCCCCTTCCCCCTCCCCCCAATTCACCCCTTCCGCCCCCCTCACCCCCCCCCGGCTCCCCCCAACCTCACCTCCCAGGTTGCTTTCCGCTCATCCGACTTCCCCCGCCACGTCATCATCCTAGGTGGCCTCACGGACGGGCTGCTGCCCACGCAGTACACCGCCAGGCTGGCATCCTCGCTGGCAGCCGCCCATTGGTCGCTGCTGCAGACTCAGCTGTCGTCGTCCTACTTTGGATACGGCGCTGCGTCTCTAGAGCAGGTGGGCACGTACGCATCGCGGGCAAGTGGGGATGGGGAGAATTGTCTCACTGGTTGCTGCTGCAGCTGCAGCTGCTGCAGACGCAGCTGTTGACGTCCTACTTTGGATACGGCGCTGCGTCTCTGGAGCAGGTGGGCAGTTGGGGATGAGAGGGTGAGAGCATATGCAACACCGCTGTGCCTGCAGCAGCGAGCATTGCATCGCTGCACCTCCACTCATTGGTCGCTGCTGCTGCTGCAGACGCAGCTGTCGTCGTCCTACTTTGGATACGGCGCTGCGTCTCTGGAGAAACGTTACAGGGGATGAGAGCGTGTGCGGTGGGTTTTGGGGCATGCCTGTGCGCTAGATACCTTGATCGAGGTTCCTATGTATCTAGAGTGAGGTGATTTTTTAGACGACTCAAAAGGCACCTTGATCACAAGCTGCTGTATTCGTAGAATGAGCCTTGGCAGGGGAAAATGCTTCGAGGCACCTAAAGCGATAAACCCTTGCTTTGAAGGATAAAATTGGCCTGCCTACACATGTCACATGCCCCATCCTCCTCCTTCACATGTCACATGCCCCATCCTCCTCCTACACATGTCACATGCCCCATCCTCCTACACATGTCACATGCCCCATCCTCCTCCTACACATGTCACATGCCCCATCCTCCTCCTACACATGTCACATGCCCCATCCTCCTCCTACACATGTCACATGCCCCATCCTCCTCCTACACATGTCACATGCCCCATCCTCCTCCTACACATGTCACATGCCCCATCCTCCTCCTACACATGTCACATGCCCCATCCTCCTCCTACACATGTCACATGCCCCATCCTCCTCCTACACATGTCACATGCCCCATCCTCCTCCTACACATGTCACATGCCCCATCCTCCTCCTACACATGTCACATGCCCCATCCTCCTGCATCTCCCTCTGTGCCCGTCCCCTTGGTTCTGCCGCCCATCCTCCCCCTCTCCCTGCCTTACGATGCCCACGCCCATTCCCCATGTCCCGTGCCCATCGCTGATACCAGGATACTACCGAAATAGATGAGCTCATCGCTTACATCATCAAGCGGTATCAGGCCTCGGAGGTCGTCCTGGTCGGCCACAGCACGGGCTGCCAGGTGAATACAACAGAGAGAGGACCTGGCCTGCCAGGTGAATACAACAGAGGACATGGCGTGCCAGGTGAATACAACAGAGGACATGGAGTGCCAGGTGAATACAACAGAGGACATGGCACGCCAGGTGAATACAACAGAGGACATGGCGTGCCAGGTGGCCCTACTGAGAACAATGACTTGCCAGGTGAATCCAACAGAACGCCTTGCCAGGAGATTGCAACAGAAGGCAATGGTTCGTCAGACGCACACAAGGGAAGGGAAAGGCATGCCATGTGATTCTAGCAGAGGAAAATGCCACGTCTCCTCATACTCAGCATGCCCCCACACTTCTTTCCAGAATTGCCTCCTCTTTTTTGCCTGATTGCCTGCTCCCCTCCTCTGCTCCACCCCGCTTCCCTGATTGCCAGTCTTCCACCCGCCACCGCCTCTGTACCTTCTTAGATTTGCCTTATCCCTTATATCTCAAGAGCTCTAATGCCACCCACCACAGCATTGAAATTCAATGGCAACCCTATTGTCTCCTTCCCCTTATCCCCTCCCCTTCCCCCCCCAACGTGTCTTCTGCCCCCACCCCCATCAGGACATAGTGGCGTGTCTCAATAGCGTGACATGCACGCACCGCAACGCAGGCAGCATAGAGCAGAGCAGGGCGCCTGCGCCCCCTCACACATCTCTCCTTTATCCCCTTCCCCCGCCTTCATGTCTCCCCCCATCAGGACATAGTGGCGTGTCTCAAGAGCGCTAAAGCTGTGCGTTACCCCCAACCAACACACGTCTCCCCCGTCTCCCATCCCCCACGTGTCTCCCCCCATCAGGACATAGTAGTGGCGTATCTCAAGAGCGTGTGAGATGCTCGAGGTTAAGGTGCGTGCACTGCACACTGCACCCTGCACCGCAACGAGGTTCAGACATTTCTCTGTGAGCAGAGCAGCGCGTTACGCACACCCTCCCACACATCCCACATGTCCCGTCCCCAACCCCCATCAGGACATAGTGGCGTATCTCAAGAGCGCTAAAGCCACCCATCGCAGCACTGATGTTAATGGGGTGCAATGCGGTGCATAGTGGTAAATCGTATATCTCTCCCCCACCCTCACATGTCTCCCCATCAGGATATAGTGGCATATCTCAAGAGCGCTAAAGCCACCCATCGCAGCACCGTCAAAGCCGCCATTCTTCAGGTGCGGCTTTTGAGGCGCCGCAAAAGTCTTCAGGTGCGGCTAGGTGGTTTTCCAGCTGGTGTGGTTTTCCAGCTGGTGTGGTTTTCCAGCTGGTTTTGTTGTCTTTTTCTGTTTCCAGAGGATTCTTACAATGCATGTACTGTCAAAAGAGGACAGGTGGGCTGCGGAGGCCTTACTTCCATCAACTCGTGTTGTTTAGGACAACGAAACAAACTCCATGGAAAAAGGCGGAAGGAGCATGGTGTGCTTAGCTTAAAACTTTGTTGAGAGAGCCAGCTGGTGTGGTTTTCTTTTTCTGTTTCCAGAGGATTCTTACAATGCATGTAATTTGCATGTAGTTTTCCAAGTGCCATCAGTGTTGTTTTTCCAGGTTATGGTTAACCATCGTGTAGGTTATGGTTCTCCAGGTGCCGTCAGGTGATTTTCCAGGTGCTCTCAGCAGTAGTTCTAGTTCCAAGTCCTACTTCCAACCAGGCGACAATGCAGAATCATCAATGCCCCTTCATCCCAGTTTTGAGTCGACTCAAATTTTGGGTCGACTCAAAGCAGTGCACAGTCACCAATGCCCCTTCATCCCATCCTACTCTCACTCCCTAGTTTCCAGTACTGTTTCCTTTCAGCCTTCCCCGAGGCACCAACGAGTGATTTTTGAGAAGTCTCTAAACTTTAACCACAGTCACTGAAGCCGATTCAACACAGCCGGCAGCAGGTGACTTTTGAGTCGACTCAAAAGTCATTTGAGTCGACTCAAAAGTTCCACACCCTTCCTCTCCGCCCGCCCACAGGCAACGAGTGACAGGGAGTGGATGCGGCAGCAGGGGAGGGAGGGGAGGAAGGAAGCTGAGGAGGCCTGCATGTGAGGAGGCATGCATGTGAGGGCGGCTCAAGCCATGATCACTCCCATACCGTGTCCCTTCCTTTCCTGCCTTCTCCCCACCAGGCGCCAACGAGTGACAGGGAGTGCATGGAGGAGCAGGCGAGGGAGGGGGGGAAGGAAGCAGAGGAGGCATTTGAAGAAATGAAGCGGGCGGCGCAGGCCATGGTTGCGGGCGGCAGAGGTGCCGAGATGATGCCGAGAAGCGCCGACCCACTCGCGCCAATCACAGCGTACAGGTGAGACTAATGCACATTTGGGACTACCGCTCGAATACCCTTTTATGGGGGATGCGTTTAAGGCCTGCTTTTTGGGACGTCTTTTTAATTCAAAACCCCTCCATTGGGGGAACGCGTTTGGAAAGGTCCATACATACATGCCCTCTCACCCACCGTGAACATACCCCGTCTGCCCCCCCTCCAGCAGGTTCTACTCCCTCGCGAGCACGGGAGGGGACGATGGCATGTTCAGCTCGGGACTTCTCAACACCTCGATGAATGTACCCCGTCCGCCCCCCCTCCTGCAGGTTCCACTCTCTCGCGTGCACAGGAGGCGCTGATGACATGTTCAGTTCAGACTTCTCAGACGAGGAGTTGAAGGAGCGGCTGGGGCACATGGCCGCATGGCCGTCCCTGGTGAGATGGTGGGGGGTTGTGCTGTGTGTTCAGTCTTGGGTAAGCGTTTGTGACATGGGTGGGATTATACTGAGTTGAAGGAGCGGCTGGGGCACATAGCCACATGGCCGTGCCTGGTGAGTGATGGCCCGTGTGTGGTGAGAATGTGTGGGGCTGTGTGTGCGGACTCTTGAGTTCAATGCAAATAAAGGAGGCTACAATGACATGTTCAGCTCAGACTTTTCAGACGAGGAGTTGGAGGAGCGGCTGGGGCACATGGGCGCATGGCCGTGCCTGGTGAGGCTGTGTGGGGCCGTGTGTGTGTGTGTGTGATCCCTCTTGGGTTCCATTCCTACCAAGCACGGGAGGGGATGACGACATGCTCAGCTCTGGCTTTTCAAATGAGGAGTTGAAGGAAACAGTGGGGCACATGGGGCCATGGCCGTGCCTGGTGAGTGGAGATGGTGTGGGGTTGTGTGGGGTTGTGTGGGGTTGGCATGGTGAGGTGAGGTGAGTTGAAGGAAACAGTGGGGCACATGGGGCCATGGCCGTGCCTGGTGTGGGGTTGTGTGGCGTTGTGTGGGGTTGTGTGGAATTAGCATGGTGAGGTGAGGTCCTGTGGTGAGTTGAAGGAAACAGTGGGGCACTTGGGGGCATGGCCGTGCTTGGTGAGACAGTGCTGGTGCTGGCAGTGGCAGTGCATGGCGAGATAGTGTGGCATTATGTGTGAGATCTCTTGGGTTGGGTACCAGGCACGGGAGGGGATGATGACATGTTCAGCTCAGCTCAGACCTGTCGGATGGGGAGTTGAAGGGGTGGTTGGGGCACATGGGCGCATGGCCGTGCCTGGAGAGCGGAGATGTTGTGGGACTGTGTGTTCGGACTCTCCATTCTCCATACTCCCATCCGTGCAACGTGCTTCTATCCATGCACCGTGCTCCCTCCCATCCATGCTCCATCTTCCCATCCATCCACTCAGGTGATGCTATCCGGGGAGGATCAATACGTACCAAGAACCATAGACAAGGAAAAGTTGCTACGGAGGTACGTTTTTCTGTTTCTTTCGTTCCTTCCCTCGCCCGAGGTACGTTTCAAGCTGTGCAATCCCCTGTTCCCATGCTGCCTTCACTCTCTATCCTTTAATCGTGTCATCCTCTTGCCTCTCCTCTCCTTCTTTTCCTCTCTTTGTTTTCATCTCTTTGCTTTTACTCTCTTCCATTTCCTCTCATTGCTTTCTTCTCTTGGCTTTTCGTTGCTTTTACTCTCTTCAATTTCCTCTCTCCTTTCCCACTTTTTCTTTTATTTTCTTCCTTCTCCTCTCTTCCCTCTCCTCTCTTCCTGCTCCTCATCTTTGTTTGCTTATTTGTTTGTACTCGTTTTTCATGAGTTGAAACACCACCATCTTATGCAAATATTGATCCCACCACCCAATCAGGCTGTACGCTGCCATGGGTGGTGCCTGATTGCTGGATCCACACACTCCCTGAGTAACCAAGTCAACAATAGATAACCCAACCCAACTATTGAGTAACACAGTGGACAATAGCCCAATCATTTCGTTCCTCTGTTCATCCTGCCGCCCTTCCTTCAGGCTCTGTGCTGCTATGGGAGGTGCCACCCCTGCTCTGATTGCTGGACCCCACCACTCCCTGAGTACCGTAATAACGTGAACAACAACACATCCCTTTCTATGTGCCCGCTGCTGATCCCACCACCCTTCCTTCACGCTCTGTGCTGCTATGGGTGGTGCTGCCCCTGCTCTGATTCCTCTAGCCCGTCACTCCCTGAGTAACACAGTGGACAATAGCCCAACCATTTCGTTCCTCTGTTCATCCTACCGCGCTTCCTTCAGGCTCTGTGCGTCGATGGGTGGTGCCGCCCCTGCTCTGATTGCTGGATCCCACCACTCCCTGAGTAACACAGTGGACAATAACCCAACCATTCTATGCCATTGTTGGTCCCACTGCCCTCCCTTCAGGCTCTGTGCACCTATGGGTGGTGCTACCCCTGCTCTCATTCCTCTAGCCCACCACTCCCTGAGTAATAACGTGAACAAGAGCACATCCCTTTTTACGGTATGTGCCCTGTGTTCATCCCACCACCCTTCAGGCTCTGTGCTGCTATGGGCGGTGCCACCCCTGCTCTGATTGCTGGAGCAGACCACTCCTTGAGTAACAATGTGGACGAGGCGGTTACCGTGATAACAGATTTTATTAAGAAACTGTAATTTCAGGGGCGATTAGGAAGTACGAGTGCCGAGAGCAACCCATGCTAAAAAAAAGCGGCACGGGCCCAGAATGGTGCTATTATTGTGTGCATTCATCCTCATTTCTGCCCAATAACCTACATGAACCTACTGTTTTGTATCGAGGGGGACAAGCATCAATAAATCCTCCGTTGGAAGAGTGTTGGAATGGGAGCAAGCAAGTGAAGTAAGGCTGGCAGAAAGAAGCATTTGCGAAGGCATGCTGACAGGCAATAGTGAGCTGCCGTTTGAAACTCACACTTGAGAGTGTTTAGTGGAGGTACAGACAATAAATCGTTGTCCTCAATAGGTTTAGCAAAAAACATAAATATCCAGCATCTGAAATTGAACTTCTAAGGATCCCAGTCCCTCTACAGTACACACAGGGTACCATTGGGCGTATGCCTCCAACTAAGACTCGCCTCTTGCCAGACTCCAATTCAATGTTGATTGAGTTGGACACGAGGCAAGTCTGAGGTGCAGAAATACGCCCTTGGTTTGCTTGCACACCCCACTTAACAACAGTAGCGAGACAGTCTGCAAAATAATGAAATAAGATTCCTGTAGCGTTCCTGGCGTTGCTGGCCAACACCTTCTGCAACCGATCCGATCCCATAGGGCGTACAGGAGGATCCTGGCAGAAGCCCTAGCCAGCACGCCGCAAGACTGGAAACCTTCGCTACAAGCACAAATGGTTCAGCATCTGGCGGGTGGTTGCCTCAGCCGCTGACACGTCCTCCTCCTCCAGCTCAGCGCGGCACTGGCGCGCGGCGACCTCTCCACCAATCCCAACGAGCGAACCCGCTTCCTCACCCACAACTCCGCCAAGGGCGGAAGCCCCTCCCCCCATGCTCGTGCTAGATGCGGACCTGCTCAGCGCGCGCGATGCAGCGGAAGCGGAGCCCGCGGAAGATGGCCAGAAGGGCGACGAGCGCGGGGTCCACATCGACGAACCAGGAACCTCCACGTTGCTCGCAGGGCTGCGCAAAATCTCCGCGGGCGACCCCAGCGTGCGCGCGCGCGCCCAACTCTCCCCCTCATTGCCCACAGAAATTCCTAACCCTAATCCGTCCAAACCATCTTCCACGGAACCTGTGATACTATCGGGAAGCATACTAGCGGGAGAAACTCCCTGGCCTATAGGACGGAGAGTTCGCGGCTGGTAAGCCGCTCCCGGCTTATAGGTTAAATTAGTCGGCCGATGAGGTTGAGTGCCGGCGCCGGTAACACCAGCTGCCAACACGTGCTGATCCGACGGCGGAAGTCCCAAACCTGGCAGGTTCGGAACAGCCTGCGACAGAAGCTGCTGCGTCGGGAAATTCGGAACGCTAGCGCCGACGTAGCGGCCAGCGCCGACTCTCCCGGCACCGGCTGCTGCGCCGATGGCGGGCGCAGTTCGGCGAACGTAAGCGGGCGCGCCAGCAGCAGCAGCGGCGGTTGGCGCGGGGTCAACCATCGGACTGGACTGCGTCATTCGCGGAAACTGCGCCATCTGCTGCGATAGCATCATCGCGCCGTAGTTATTCATCATCGAGTTACTCATTACCGAATCCTCCGGTACAAGCATATGCTGCTGCTCAGCGCTCATCTCGCGAACCGTCACCTCCCGGATTCGAACCCCCGCCATTCCCGCGCCAACATGGCGCGGAACGTAGAGCGGAGCGCCGGCCTGCAGCGGAGTGCCCCCCTGCGGGGGGAGGGCGGAAGTCCGGTTGCGCGCATAGAGCGGAGCGGAAGCCATGCCCTTGGGCGCAGGGCAGCCGTTCGGAACGTAGAAGCCCGCGAGCGCGGCGAGATCCATGCCTGGGGAAAGCACCGCGGGGCTGGATTTGATCGCGCTGGCGCTGTACGCGTTAGAGAGCGCGCGGGCGATCGCGGTCTGCTCCTGCTCGTCCGTAACGTCGAGGTCTTCGATCACAGCAGTGTAGTTGCGACCCGCATCTGAGAAAAACAAGGATAAGCAACAAGAGCGCAAACCAGATACAGTCGAGATGAGAAAAAAACCAAATTTCCGACGTACCAAAAAGGTGACGCGTATGGGTCACACCCTTTCCCAACATAAAGATGTGGAATTATGAAAAAAAAACCAGCAACAACAAAACAAATCAGCCAAAAAGGCGACAAGTATGGCGGACAGAAATATGACGACGAAGCTTACATCGTTTCAGCGCAGTCCACGCTGCCAGTGCCGCGTTCTTCTCCGCCTGCTTCTTCGTCCGCGATGGCTCCCCCGTGAACTGCAACCCCGCTACCTCCACCGTGCACGTGAACACCGGCAGATGTCCCGGACCGGATCGAACCGTGTTGTACCCTGGCAGCGGGACGCCGGCTCTTTGCGCGGTCTCCTGCAGGAGGTTCTTGCACACGCCGGATTCGTCGAGGATCTTCGCGATGCATTGCGACGGGCTGCGCTCCGACATGACGCGCAGCGCGACCTCCGCCGCCGCGTGTTCCGCCTGCCGGAGAGACGGGAAGTATCCTGGGCTGTCGAAGGTTTCGCCGTTGAACGTGGCGGTGGCTTTAAACTTGGGCGCGTGGTCCGGGCCCTCGCGTATGCACGCGTACGACGGGAGGTTGTACCCGCTGCGCTGCGCGAGCTCCTGGAGCTGATTCTTATGCATCGTGCCGCTCGTGTAAACACTCTGTACTCGTCTGGGGCAGTTGCGATTAACAATAGCTTTCCTAGGGCAACGGCACTGCGCTCGCAGATTGTATAACTGCCGAGAAAGGGCCTGTGAAAAAAAGGTTACTCTCTAAAAGAGAAAAAGGTGGAAAACGGGATACGCAGGCTCCTAATGGGTCTAGCAAAATACTTCGCAGCCTGAGCAGAACACGAGTGCAGGTTGAGAGTACTAAGGGGAGAGCAATCTTATTAGTTTAGCAAGCCATCCTATTCCTCTCTCCGTCCTGTCTTAAGAGACAGGATTCCGAATCCCTGCAAGGAAGTATTCCTACAAGCCGAGCCAGTAACTAACGCCTGGACAAACTAGTTGCTGCGAGAATTAGTGGCTGTGAAGTGAACTAGTGCTGGTGAGATCCGTTTCAGTTGAGGGTTATGGGACCGTGCCTCCCTCCTGCGGAAAACGCGGAAACAGAACTCACAGGGGAGCTACACCTCAAGCGTGTGGGAAACGGGGAAAAGGAAGAAGGGCCTGGAGAAATCTGCAGTGTTGGTGGGTGGGTGGGTGTCTCAAAAAAGTCAAACGAGAAAGAGGGGGGGGGGGGGGGGGGGGTGGGGGGAGAGGGCAGGAGTACGGACGGAGGTGGAACATACAAAGGGCCGAGAAATCCGAGAAACTGAAAGAATCTGATCGGAGTCAGTTGAAAATACGAAATACACGTGTAGCCGCGCTAACTGGCTTGTTGGAATTTGAGCTCACGTTTACTGGCTGGTTGAAAAATGAGCTCCATTCATTCCACCATTTTCTTCTGAGCTTCCACGTTGCCTCAAGCCACGGGAATGTCAACGCGCGCAAGAGCGGGTGGCGCTAACCGCCTGGCTCGGGGGACCGCCACGTCACGCGGATGGTACAGTAACGAGAACCGGGATGCGCGCGTTTTTGTAACTGGAGCTGCCCAAAAGTTGCTGCCCGGAGTCTGGCTGGCAGTCAAGGGGCAGCGGGCTCACTAGTCAGCACAGATAGGGAGGTTGGGATTGGGGCTTGGAGTCAGCGTGATTCGAGAGAGGGAAATCAGGAATAAGGGAATTAGGATAAATCCTGGACGGAGAGGACCTCCAGCAGTGGACGGTCAGGGCCGAGGGGGAGGGGGTGTTATGGTAGTGGTGATTGGGTCCTTGGGGGGAGCCCGTCCGGTCATCCAACGGGGCATCTCCGGTTCTCGTTGGGGCTCCGCCCGCGAGAGACGGTTTGTCGGTGGATGAAGGAGCACCGTGTTTGTGATGACGGTGCGTCGCTGCAGTGTTCCGCCAGGCTACAGTGCATACCGACCACGGAACCGCCAAAACCCATCTTCTTGTCTTTGCTCCCTGCGCTGTTGCGTAAACTTGTGCACAAATTTGTACATTACTGTATCACTGGGCAGGCAAAAGTGCCACAATTTCGAACCCCACTGCAGGGCAGAACATGAACCTTGAGCCCCTGTCAAAGGTGGGGGGAAACAAATAAAGAAACCACAAGTCTTCGAGATCATCCCCTTACTGCAATTTGCTTAGAGGTATAAGGATGTGGTTTTTAATCTGTTAGCCATTTTGTCTGAAAATAGCAAATATAACCAGCCACATTTTTTAAATGTATCAACGCTTGAAGGGCAGATTTCAAAGAAATGACCTCGTGAACGCAGCTGCCCGAGCCAATCTCGCCTGCATGGCGGAGCAATCACGAAGTTGCAGACGCACCGTCGCGGAGACTAGCAAGGGCCGTTCTTCTGTCATCTGGCTGGGCTGGTGACTGTAGGAAGTGGTGTGGTGTGGTGTGGTCACACACCTGCCTGTCGTGTCGCCGTTTGCACGTTTGTTCCCTTTTGACAGCAGGCCAGCGAACAGGCTGTCGGCAAGGCGCTGACGGCGACAGAGAGTCATTCGTCACCTCATCGTCGCTCGCAGTATACCCGTCAAAGAGGGGCTCGTTCCATATCTAAACAAATGACCACATAGACTGCTAAGTCAATATGTGTCTATACATACAGCTTGAAGATAGGTTTAAAGTACTGTACTATTCCATATCCACAAAGAAAAACGGGTAGTTAAAAGGATGGAAGATGAACTTGTGATGACAACCATTTGAGCACACGAGCTTAGCGTACACATGAAACAGCACTGCCGTCCCAGTTCGACACTGTTAGATCGTTCAGATACAAAAAAAAAAAAAAGGCATGACATACCAAGCCATTCACCAAGTCTCGTTATGGTTGGTTGACTTCTAATGCCATTGGCATCTTCTAACAACCACCCCATCGATGTGGCAATCAGCATTGCTTCATTCAGGTGATGATGATGCGTCAGCTCGAGAGGGTGCACTAGGCCCGCTCTCACTGGCACGCTTTTCCTGCCAGCCACCAAAAAAGAAAGAGAAGAAAATAAGAGGAAGAAGAATAAGCGGATGAACCACCGAGGTACAAAACATTGGAAAATGCAAACCACGAACATTGGAAGCCCAGCAAAATATATAAACGAGCAAGATGAAAATGCACAATACCTCACAGCATGGATAGGATCAACACCGCGGCAAAAACCTAATCCCATTCTAGAAGTGCGTAGTTGACACTCCAACAGAATGGCTTAGAGCGTGTTCCTACACCTCGTATCAGAAACACCTCGTATCAGCTTCGCGTGGTGAAATGCGTTTCAGTGTGTTCGACTGCGGTTGGATGCCTTTTGGTGCGGTTTGACGCGAAATTGATACGAGGTTGCCTGATAGGAACACGCTCTTATGCAGATATACAGGAGTGTGCCTATAGTTGTGTGCGTATCGCAACCAATCGTGTCACCATACATCGATTAACCCTAAGCGACGGAAAAATGCTGCATGGACAGGAGTGAACAGTTTCAACTAAACAAGAAGACACCTCTTGCAAGGACGTAAGATGCCACCTCACTTTCCTCCAATTCCAGCTCACCTTGCTCAGAGTTAGCTCACCTTGCTCCAGTGCCAGCTCACCTCGCTCACTTCAGACGCCACCTCACATTATCCTAATTCCAGCTCACCTTGCTCCAGTGCCAGCTCAGCGCGCTGCCAGCGTTGAGCAGAGCAGATGTGCCAAGAACGAGGGTGGCGAGCCCCAGGGACCCCACTACCACCCGATGCACCGTATCTAGACCCTTTGACATGCCTGTTTTGCCTCCCAGGCTGCTGCCGTCCTCTCTCCGCTTGCTCTGCCCGGTGTGTCTGTTGTCCTGCCCAGTGTGTCTGTTGTCCTGCCCAGTCACTTCACTTGCAAGGGAGCACTTGCCACACATGCCAGCTCACCTCGCTCACTTCAGACGCCACCTCACATTGACCCAATTCCAGCTCACCTTGCTCCAGTGCCAGCTCAGCGCGCTGCCAGCGTTGAGCAGAGCAGACGTGCCAAGAACGAGGGTGGCGAGCCCCAGGGACCCCACCACCACCCGATGCACCGTATCTAGACCCTTCGACATGCCTGCTACGCTGTTACACTGCTACACTGCTACACTCCTCTCTCCGCTTGTATGTATGCCTGTTCTGCCCGGCGTGCCAGATGTTGTCTGTTGCCCTGCTCCTCTTGTAAGTCTCTCCGCTGCTCCTGTCCTTTCTTCCTCTGTCTGCGTCTATGTGACTATCCTGCTCCGCTGTCCGCCTGCTTGCGTTTCCAGCAGTTGCTGCTGCTGCTGGTGGTGGCTGCTAATCCAGATTCTGATGCACCTGCACTCCGTGCTCGAAAACCGCAATGATGTTGCTTCAGCTACCTTTGCCACTGGCACACGGGATGTTTCAGCTGGCCTTGCCAATAGGGGAGGCAGGATTGGAAGGAGAGGGAAAGGCGAGAGAAACGGAAGGAGGCGTAGAGAGGGGTGTAAAAAGAGTAATTGCTGTACAAGAGGAAACGCAAGATAGAAATGAGGAAAATTAGGGCGATGATTTAGAAGGAAGAATTAGGAAGATAATCTGGAGAGCGGAACTGGGGAGAGGAATTTTGTGAGAAATTCGAGAGACGAATTAGGGGAAGAAGTTAGGGAGAGGAAGAATAAGAGAAGGCAGGGATGGGGAATGTCTTGGATAGGGGTTGTCAAGAGGGATTGGAAAGACATGAAAGGCTGAGAGAGAAAGGGAAGGAACGGGAGGGGAGGAGGACGAGAAGGAGAGCAAGAGAGGACGAATAAAAAAAGGATGAGAAGAGAGGAGAAAAGGACCTTTGCTGAAGCTAGAGAGTGGGAGATGGCGTCTAAAGACGGTGATGGTGGGAAGAGAAGAGCGAGAGAGGATGGCTCAAAACGGGATGAGGGGTGAGGAGGAGAGGACGTTTGGGAGAGATGACCTAGAGAGTACGCGATGGTGGAAAGATGAGACGAAAAGAGGACGTTAGAAAACAGAGATGATGGGGGGAGCGAATTGGGAACCGGAACCCCACGGGCCTGCGTATCAAATATACGGAACCCATATTTATTCATCAGATTTCTTGCGAACAAATCGTGGCAGCAAACGGGGAGGGTCGCGAAAGTAACTAGGGACGACGAAAGGGTAGGACGAAGAACAGGTAGATAAATATACAACTGATATCAAGATCAGTGGTATATGGATTTTACGTAGTTTAAAAAAGAAAGGGGCGATGCAGATTCGCGGACGATGATGAGTTGTCGCACAAAATCGCGCGCAGACGACAGACGACGAGACGGACGGGACCACAAGATGAGCCAAAAGGCGGATACGCCTGCTGTTGAATCAGAACCGTTCGATGGAGACTATGGAAACCAGCGGAGTTGAAGGGCGAGCGACGAAAAGGCACAGACAGGCGGGAAGTGGGACGCGACGCGACGCGACGGGAGAAGCAGATGTGAGGCAACTACGGACAAGGGAAGAACAAGTGGGCTCCTGGATTTGTGGGCTAGACTTCTGTATGCCTTGGAAAAATAGCTTTACGTTCGGTAAACGACGGCCGAGTACGGTGCTTTACTATAAATGAAGGTGTATTTTTACCGTTTGGAACCACTACCCACCTGTCCGAATACATTTGTTTAAGCCCCAAGGGCGTGGAACATCCTGAAAAAAGTGGAGTCCAGACGACGCTTGGCGCGTATGATTTTTGGAAAATTGTCCTAGTTCGAACTTTGACCGCTTTGAATCGCGGTGATACGTCTCTCAAATGCATCTTACCGTGTTAAAATTCTCATCGAAATTTGGCAGTAGTTCGACCCCGACCAGACACGCAATCAGAAGCGTCAATCGGACCATCCACATCCACGCCACAAAATTGGTATACGGCCCATTGTGTTCGAATGTTTCCATCGCAGTTCCGCGTTGCGACGCCGCATGGGTACTTGCAAAGGGATTTGCGAACACCAGCGAGTTCAGTATCCCTTAAATCGTCCGGACGGATACACGATTTGCACTGTTTCTATCCAGGATGTTCCACGCCCTAAGTCTGGCGAGATGTTGCTCTTTTCGTGTGCTGCTTTCTCGTCGATACCTCACAGAAAGCTATTTAGGTCTTGCCGATCGCTTGCTTGCTGCCCTGCCGACACGAGCACGAAGATCGTTTGTACTCGAAATTTGTTCCCGCTTCTAGCTTTCCGTGTCGTGGTCTTCCGCGCGATGGGTCGGCCGGCAGCAGCAGGGGGATCGCGGGGTGCCGCGGTCGGCAATAATGACGACGGCGCGGAGGTGTTCGATTTCCTGGCGGCGATCGTTAACGATGTGAGCTATTTATCGAAGTGAGCGTTATATCGAGATGATCGTTACGTCGAGATGTTCGTTACGTCGCGATGAGCGTTAAATCGTGGTGTGCGTTGTATCGAGGTGTTCGATTTCCTGGCGGCGATCATCAACGATGTCAGCCTTGTTTCGGAGTGAGCCTTTTTTATCGAAGTGAGCGCTGTATCGAAGAGAGTTTTTTTTTTTTTTTTTTTTTTTTTTTAAATCGAGATGAGCTTTATGTCGGGTGCTCGCTTACCTTTTATCGAGATGAGCGTTGTAACGTCAAGTATTGGAACGTCAAGTATTGTAACGTCAAGTATTGGAACGTCAAATAAGGCCAGAAGAATCACTGCTCTGTCCAGAAGAAGCCCGGAGCTAAGCTCTTCAGAGATGACGTTGTTTGACGTCTCAAAAAAAGTCAGCAGCCCCCACTGAAAGGCCTTGCTCTGTTCTGTTCTAAACACGCCCGCAGCTCGGCTTTTCTAGAGGTGACGTGTCAGCTTCTCATTCGTCCCTCCCCGTCCTCGTTTCTCTAGATCGAGCTGGCAGGGTGGGGGGCAGAAATCGAGCTCAAGGCAAAATCTTTTCCACACTCTCCCCTCATTCCGCGTTCCCTTCCCTCCCTTCCCCTCCTCCCCGTCCTTGTCTCTCCAGATTGAGTTGGCAGGGTGGGGGAAGGGAGGGGTTCTCGAGCTGAGAAGCAAGATCGAGGAGCGATTATCCACACCACCCTCTCGCTCATCCTTCTTTCCTCCTCCCTTCCCTCCTCCCCTCCCTCCTCCCTTCCCTCCTCCCTCCCCTCCATCCCTCCCATCCATGGAGAAGGCAAGCGGCGGCGCGGATCTCGAGCTGAGAGGCAAGATCGAGGAGCCGCCATCCACGCCACGCTCTCTCCTCATCCCCTGTCCCCTTCCCTCTCCTCCCCTCCTCCCCTCCTCCCCTCCTCCTCGTTTCCCCCAGTTGGAGCCGGCAAAAGCGGGCGGGCGAGGATCTCGAGCTGAGAAGCAAGATTGAGAAACCGCCAGCCATCCACACCACCATCGCCACTCATCTTTCCTCCCCCCTCCCCTTCCAAACCCTCCCCTTCTCCTTCTCCGCTCCCCTGCCCTCCTCCCGTGCCCGTCCCTCCTCGTTTCCCCAGTTGGAGCCGGCAAAAAAGGGCGGGGGGGATTTCGAGCTGAGAAGCAAGATCGAGGGGCCACCATCCACAGAATGTTTTTTGAGAATTCTCAAAAAACATTCGCGGCAAGATCGAGGGACCACCATCCACACCACCCCCACCTTTTCTCCTCCCTCTCCCCTCCGCCCTTCCGTCCCTTCCGCGTCCCCTCTTTTCCTCTCTTTTGAGTTGACTCAAAAATTGTCCACTCCTTCTGGCAAGTGGGGCCGCGGGTTTTGAGCTGAGAGGCAAGATCGAGGAGTCACCATCCACACCACCCTCCCCTCTCATCCCCTTTTCCTCCTCCCTTCCTCCACTTCCTCCTCTCTCATACCCCTCTCTCCTCCCCTCCTCGTTTCTCGAGATGGAGCTGGCAGGCAAGTAGCAGCGAAGACACGTAACTGTGAGGCACGATCGAGGAGCCACGTGCATTGCGTTGATTTTTGAGGCGCCTCAAAAATCAACTCAGTGGCTTCGAAGGCATGTAACTGAGAGGCACGATCGAGGAGCTGCCATCCACACCACCCTCTCCCCTCATACCCCGTTCCCATCCCTCTCATCCCCCTTCGTTCCCCCGTTTTTCCAGATGGAGTTGGCAAGTGGCGGGGCAGACATGTAACTGAGAGGCGAGATCGAGGAGACACCATTCCCTCTCATCCCCCTTCGTTCCTCCCCTCCCTCGTCCCCCTTCTTCCCCTCGTTTCTCCAGATGGAGCCACCATCCACACCACCCTCTCCCCTCATACCCCGTTCAGGTCCCTCCCCTCCCTTCCCTCTTCGCTACCACCTTTCTCCAGATGGAGCTGGCAAGTGGCGGCGCAGACATGGAGTTGAGAGGGAAGATGGAGGAGCCACCATTCCCTCTCGATCCCCCTTTGTTCCTCACCTCCCTCGTCCCCTTTCCTTACCCTCGTTTCTCTAGATGGAGCTGGCAAGTGGCGGCGCAGACATGGAGTTGAGAGGGAAGATGGAGGAGCCACCATTCCCTCTCGATCCCCCTTTGTTCCTCACCTCCCTCGTCCCCTTTCCTTACCCTCGTTTCTCTAGATGGAGCTGGCAAGTGGCGGCGCAGACATGGAGTTGAGAGGGAAGATGGAGGAGCCACCATTCCCTCTCGATCCCCCTTTGTTCCTCACCTCCCTCGTCCCCTTTCCTTCCCCTCGTTTCTCTAGATGGAGCTGGCAAGTGGCGGCGCAGACATGGAGTTGAGAGGGAAGATGGAGGAGCCACCATTCCCTCTCGATCCCCCTTTGTTCCTCACCTCCCTCGTCCCCTTTCCTTCCCCTCGTTTCTCTAGATGGAGCTGGCAAGTGGCGGCGCAGACATGGAGTTGAGAGGGAAGATGGAGGAGCCATCATTCCCTCTCGATCCCCCTTTGTTCCTCACCTCCCTCGTCCCTTTTCCTTACCCTCGTTTCTCTAGATGGAGCTGGCAAGTGGCGGCGCAGACATGGAGTTGAGAGGGAAGATGGAGGAGCCACCATTCCCTCTCGATCCCCCTTTGTTCCTCACCTCCCTCGTCCCCTTTCCTTACCCTCGTTTCTCTAGATGGAGCTAGCAAGTGGCGAGGCGGACATGGAGTTGAGAGGGAAGATGGAGGAGCCACCATCCCCTTTCATCCCCCTTCGTTCCTATGTTGCAAAATACGCGACTGGTGTACCAGTCGCGTTCGTACTAAACGCCAACGTATGAACATCGTACGATGGATTTTCGCCCCCTCGATACGCTCAAAATACGGTGTCCCGGGCAGGGGAAAAAAGTTCCGAACAGGGGAAAAAAGTGTCAGGGAGTGAGTGATGGTCCCTATACTCAATGTTTCTTACCGATCTGCGCCGATCTGCTGGCGGAATACTAGAATCGCGCGGATCTGGTGGCGGAATGCCAGATCTACGCCCCTCTGCCTACTTGCGTCCAGCTGCGACATAAGCGGTCGATGTAGGTTTTCGAAGCTGCCGACTTGAAAGCCGAAGTGTGGTTGGAAGGGAAGGGTTGGGTTTGGGTTGGGTTTGAGGTTATGTTATGTGCGGTGGAAGGGGGGGTGGGTGCGGGGGAAGGCATTCGACTTTCAAATGTCAAAATTAGGTTATGGAGAATCACAGATCGCGAGAACGGTCGCAACAGATTTGTTTTGTTTTGTTTTGTTTTTTTTTTTTTTTTCCCGACGGGCTGCCTGTCCAGGCATACCGCGTATTTGTCCCCGTATCACGTTTTGCCGTTTATACGTGAACGCATAAACGTGATACGAAAGAAGGCCTCAGCGTGTAGTGCAACATAGCTTCGTTCCTCCCCTCCCTCGTCCCCTTTCCTTACCCTCGTTTCTCTAGATGGAGCTGGCAAGTGGAGGGGCGGACATGGAGTGGGGAGGCAAGATCGAGGGACTTCCGTTCGAGCTACCATCCACACCACCACCCTCCCCAATCGTCTCCCTTCCCCTCTCCCCTCCCATCCCCTCCCTCCTCTCTTTCTCCAGATGGAGCTGGCAAGTGGCGGGGCGGACATGGAGTTGAGAGGCAAGATCGAGGAGCTGCGAGCAGTCTCATCAGCCAGCGTGGCGCAAACTAACTCATCAATGGAGCAGGTGCGTGGTGGTGCCTGCCTTGGGAGTGTGAAGGGCGCAGCTGATCCCATGCTCCATGCGCGCGCTCATGTCATTCACGGCGAGATCGAGGAGCTGCCAGCAGTCTCATCAGCCACCGTGGCGCAAACTAACTCATCCATGGAGCAGGTGCGTGGTGGTGCCTGCCTTGGGAGTGTGAAGGGCGCAGCTGAGCCCATGCTCCATGCCTGCTCTCATGTCATTCACGGCGAGATCGAGGAGCTGCGAGCAGTCTCATCCTAAGTTGGATTTTACGTTTACGGGGCCTTACGTTTTCGGACATTTACGACGATTTTTACGTTTACGAACGGTAGCTCTGAATCGGCCTTACGGTAACGGTCAGCTGAAAACTTTTTTGGGCTGCCCGAGGGAAAAAAAACTACCAGAATACTCAAGAGATCCATATTGAACCAGAACTAGAGCTAAGCAGTCGCTGAATACGAAGTTCTGCTCTACTTAGGGAATCTGGATCTGGATTCAGATCCAGTTTCGACAAAGTGGGGTCACGTAATATTTCAGGCTTTGCTGATTCGCTAAGACCTAGGGTTGGTTGGATTCGCTGTTACATTTTTTTTCGTTTTCACCAAACAGCCGAACAGAAATTGTGGCAGTCGCAAACCATAACTTGAGTTTCGCCAACATCCACACCTACAAATTTCGCCACGCACGTACGCCAATCACATAGCCGACGAATCTCCCTACAGAATTTCGCAAAGCGCGCGTCCTAATCCCGAGCCCAACAAACCACCACTCACACCCTCCTCCCTAGCACAAGGTCTTGTCGCCCTCACAGCCTAGAGAACTCTCTCGTCCTAATCGATCTAAACTTAGTGGCTCGATATTTTCACCCACCACCAAGACAGCACAGATTCAGATCGCGTTAGGGACTTTAAAGGCGCTGCGTTTCTACTTAGTTCGCTATTGCAGAAGGCTCGGATTAGTTGTACTTGCTTCTATCGTAAGCGATTATCCTGGATGAAAAAAAACGGGCCGCGATTTTTTTTTTCCGCTGCCCGCCTCAGACTTACGCGTAACTTAACGTACGAAATCGAAATCGTAACATTTCGCGAAATTTACGTTTACGCTGCCCGGAAAACCGTAAGAGCCCAACTTAGGTCTCATCAGCCAGCGTGGCGCAAACTAACTCATCAATGGAGCAGGTGCGTGGTGGTGCCTGCCTTGGGAGTGTGAAGGGCGCAGCTGATCCCATGCTCCATGCGCGCGCTCATGTCATTCACGGCGAGATCGAGGAGCTGCCAGCAGTCTCATCAGCCAGCGTGGCGCAAACTAACTCATCAATGGAGCAGGTGCGTGGTGGTGCCTGCCTTGGGAGTGTGAAGGGCGCAGCTGATCCCATGCTCCATGCCTGCTCTCATGTCATTCACGGCGAGATCGAGGAGCTGCGAGCAGTCTCATCAGCCAGCGTGGCGCAAACTAACTCATCAATGGAGCAGGTGCGTGGTGGTGCCTGCCTTGGGAGTGTGAAGGGCGCAGCTGATCCCATGCTCCATGCGCGCGCTCGTGTCATTCACGGCGAGATCGAGGAGCTGCCAGCAGTCTCATCAGCCAGCGTGGCGCAAACTAACTCATCAATGGAGCAGGTGCGTGGTGGTGCCTGCCTTGGGAGTGTGAAGGGCGCAGCTGATCCCATGCTCCATGCGCGCGCTCATGTCATTCACGGCGAGATCGAGGAGCTGCCAGCAGTCTCATCAGCCAGCGTGGCGCAAACTAACTCATCAATGGAGCAGGTGCGTGGTGGTGCCTGCCTTGGGAGTGTGAAGGGCGCAGCTGATCCCATGCTCCATGCCTGCTCTCATGTCATTCACGGCGAGATCGAGGAGCTGCCAGCAGTCTCATCAGCCACCGTGGCGCAAACTAACTCATCAATGGAGCAGGTGCGTGGTGCCTGCCTTGGGAGTGTGAAGGGCGCAGCTGATCCCATGCTCCATGCCTGCTCTCATGTCATTCACGGCGAGATCGAGGAGCTGCGAGCAGTCTCATCAGCCAGCGTGGCGCAAACTAACTCATCAATGGAGCAGGTGCGTGGTGGTGCCTGCCTTGGGAGTGTGAAGGGCGCAGCTGATCCCATGCTCCATGCGCGCTCTCATGTCATTCACGGCGAGATCGAGGAGCTGCCAGCAGTCTCATCAGCCAGCGTGGCGCAAACTAACTCATCAATGGAGCAGGTGCGTGGTGGTGCCTGCCTTGGGAGTGTGAAGGGCGCAGCTGATCCCATGCTCCATGCCTGCTCTCATGTCATTCACGGCGAGATCGAGGAGCTGCCAGCAGTCTCATCAGCCAGCGTGGCGCAAACTAACTCATCAATGGAGCAGGTGCGTGGTGGTGCCTGCCTTGGGAGTGTGAAGGGCGCAGCTGATCCCATGCTCCATGCGCGCGCTCATGTCATTCACGGCGAGATCGAGGAGCTGCGAGCAGTCTCATCAGCCAGCGTGGCGCAAACTAACTCATCAATGGAGCAGGTGCGTGGTGGTGCCTGCCTTGGGAGTGTGAAGGGCGCAGCTGATCCCATGCTCCATGCGCGCGCTCATGTCATTCACGGCGAGATCGAGGAGCTGCCAGCAGTCTCATCAGCCAGCGTGGCGCAAACTAACTCATCAATGGAGCAGGTGCGTGGTGCCTGCCTTGGGAGTGTGAAGGGCGCAGCTGATCCCATGCTCCATGCCTGCTCTCATGTCATTCACGGCGAGATCGAGGAGCCGCGAGCAGTCTCATCAGCCAGCGTGGCGCAAACTAACTCATCAATGGAGCAGGTGCGTGGTGGTGCCTGCCTTGGGAGTGTGAAGGGCGCAGTCAATCCCATGCTCCATGCGCGCTCTCATGTCATTCACGGCGAGATCGAGGAGCTGCGAGCAGTCTCATCAGCCAGCGTGGCGCAAACTAACTCATCAATGGAGCAGGTGCGTGGTGGTGCCTGCCTTGGGAGTGTGAAGGGCGCAGCTGATCCCATGCTCCATGCGTGCGCTCATGTCATTCACGGCGAGATCGAGGAGCTGCCAGCAGTCTCATCAGCCAGCGTGGCGCAAACTAACTCATCAATGGAGCAGGTGCGTGGTGGTGCCTGCCTTGGGAGTGTGAAGGGCGCAGCTGATCCCATGCTCCATGCCTGCTCTCATGTCATTCACGGCGAGATCGAGGAGCTGCCAGCAGTCTCATCAGCCAGCGTGGCGCAAACTAACTCATCAATGGAGCAGGTGCGTGGTGGTGCCTGCCTTGGGAGTGTGAAGGGCGCAGCTGATCCCATGCTCCATGCGCGCGCTCATGTCATTCACGGCGAGATCGAGGAGCTGCGAGCAGTCTCATCAGCCAGCGTGGCGCAAACTAACTCATCAATGGAGCAGGTGCGTGGTGGTGCCTGCCTTGGGAGTGTGAAGGGCGCAGCTGATCCCATGCTCCATGCCTGCTCTCATGTCATTCACGGCGAGATCGAGGAGCTGCCAGCAGTCTCATCAGCCACCGTGGCGCAAACTAACTCATCAATGGAGCAGGTGCGTGGTGGTGCCTGCCTTGGGAGTGTGAAGGGCGCAGCTGATCCCATGCTCCATGCCTGCTCTCATGTCATTCACGGCGAGATCGAGGAGCTGCCAGCAGTCTCATCAGCCAGCGTGGCGCAAACTAACTCATCAATGGAGCAGGTGCGTGGTGCCTGCCTTGGGAGTGTGAAGGGCGCAGCTGATCCCATGCTCCATGCGCGCGCTCATGTCATTCACGGCGAGATCGAGGAGCTGCCAGCAGTCTCATCAGCCAGCGTGGCGCAAACTAACTCATCAATGGAGCAGGTGCGTGGTGCCTGCCTTGGGAGTGTGAAGGGCGCAGCTGATCCCATGCTCCATGCCTGCTCTCATGTCATTCACGGCGAGATCGAGGAGCCGCGAGCAGTCTCATCAGCCAGCGTGGCGCAAACTAACTCATCAATGGAGCAGGTGCGTGGTGGTGCCTGCCTTGGGAGTGTGAAGGGCGCAGCTGATCCCATGCTCCATGCGCGCTCTCATGTCATTCACGGCGAGATCGAGGAGCTGCGAGCAGTCTCATCAGCCAGCGTGGCGCAAACTAACTCATCAATGGAGCAGGTGCGTGGTGGTGCCTGCCTTGGGAGTGTGAAGGGCGCAGCTGATCCCATGCTCCATGCGTGCGCTCATGTCATTCACGGCGAGATCGAGGAGCTGCCAGCAGTCTCATCAGCCAGCGTGGCGCAAACTAACTCATCAATGGAGCAGGTGCGTGGTGGTGCCTGCCTTGGGAGTGTGAAGGGCGCAGCTGATCCCATGCTCCATGCCTGCTCTCATGTCATTCACGGCGAGATCGAGGAGCTGCCAGCAGTCTCATCAGCCAGCGTGGCGCAAACTAACTCATCAATGGAGCAGGTGCGTGGTGGTGCCTGCCTTGGGAGTGTGAAGGGCGCAGCTGATCCCATGCTCCATGCGCGCGCTCATGTCATTCACGGCGAGATCGAGGAGCTGCGAGCAGTCTCATCAGCCAGCGTGGCGCAAACTAACTCATCAATGGAGCAGGTGCGTGGTGGTGCCTGCCTTGGGAGTGTGAAGGGCGCAGCTGATCCCATGCTCCATGCCTGCTCTCATGTCATTCACGGCGAGATCGAGGAGCTGCCAGCAGTCTCATCAGCCACCGTGGCGCAAACTAACTCATCAATGGAGCAGGTGCGTGGTGCCTGCCTTGGGAGTGTGAAGGGCGCAGCTGATCCCATGCTCCATGCCTGCTCTCATGTCATTCACAGCGAGATCGAGGAGCTGCGAGCAGTCTCATCAGCCAGCGTGGCGCAAACTAACTCATCAATGGAGCAGGTGCGTGGTGGTGCCTGCCTTGGGAGTGTGAAGGGCGCAGCTGATCCCATGCTCCATGCGCGCTCTCATGTCATTCACGGCGAGATCGAGGAGCTGCCAGCAGTCTCATCAGCCAGCGTGGCGCAAACTAACTCATCAATGGAGCAGGTGCGTGGTGGTGCCTGCCTTGGGAGTGTGAAGGGCGCAGCTGATCCCATGCTCCATGCGCGCGCTCGTGTCATTCACGGCGAGATCGAGGAGCTGCCAGCAGTCTCATCAGCCAGCGTGGCGCAAACTAACTCATCAATGGAGCAGGTGCGTGGTGGTGCCTGCCTTGGGAGTGTGAAGGGCGCAGCTGATCCCATGCTCCATGCGCGCGCTCATGTCATTCACGGCGAGATCGAGGAGCTGCCAGCAGTCTCATCAGCCAGCGTGGCGCAAACTAACTCATCAATGGAGCAGGTGCGTGGTGGTGCCTGCCTTGGGAGTGTGAAGGGCGCAGCTGATCCCATGCTCCATGCCTGCTCTCATGTCATTCACGGCGAGATCGAGGAGCTGCCAGCAGTCTCATCAGCCACCGTGGCGCAAACTAACTCATCAATGGAGCAGGTGCGTGGTGCCTGCCTTGGGAGTGTGAAGGGCGCAGCTGATCCCATGCTCCATGCCTGCTCTCATGTCATTCACGGCGAGATCGAGGAGCTGCGAGCAGTCTCATCAGCCAGCGTGGCGCAAACTAACTCATCAATGGAGCAGGTGCGTGGTGGTGCCTGCCTTGGGAGTGTGAAGGGCGCAGCTGATCCCATGCTCCATGCGCGCTCTCATGTCATTCACGGCGAGATCGAGGAGCTGCCAGCAGTCTCATCAGCCAGCGTGGCGCAAACTAACTCATCAATGGAGCAGGTGCGTGGTGGTGCCTGCCTTGGGAGTGTGAAGGGCGCAGCTGATCCCATGCTCCATGCCTGCTCTCATGTCATTCACGGCGAGATCGAGGAGCTGCCAGCAGTCTCATCAGCCAGCGTGGCGCAAACTAACTCATCAATGGAGCAGGTGCGTGGTGGTGCCTGCCTTGGGAGTGTGAAGGGCGCAGCTGATCCCATGCTCCATGCGCGCGCTCATGTCATTCACGGCGAGATCGAGGAGCTGCGAGCAGTCTCATCAGCCAGCGTGGCGCAAACTAACTCATCAATGGAGCAGGTGCGTGGTGGTGCCTGCCTTGGGAGTGTGAAGGGCGCAGCTGATCCCATGCTCCATGCCTGCTCTCATGTCATTCACGGCGAGATCGAGGAGCTGCCAGCAGTCTCATCAGCCACCGTGGCGCAAACTAACTCATCAATGGAGCAGGTGCGTGGTGCCTGCATTGGGAGTGTGAAGGGCGCAGCTGATCCCATGCTCCATGCCTGCTCTCATGTCATTCACAGCGAGATCGAGGAGCTGCGAGCAGTCTCATCAGCCAGCGTGGCGCAAACTAACTCATCAATGGAGCAGGTGCGTGGTGGTGCCTGCCTTGGGAGTGTGAAGGGCGCAGCTGATCCCATGCTCCATGCGCGCTCTCATGTCATTCACGGCGAGATCGAGGAGCTGCCAGCAGTCTCATCAGCCAGCGTGGCGCAAACTAACTCATCAATGGAGCAGGTGCGTGGTGGTGCCTGCCTTGGGAGTGTGAAGGGCGCAGCTGATCCCATGCTCCATGCGCGCGCTCGTGTCATTCACGGCGAGATCGAGGAGCTGCCAGCAGTCTCATCAGCCAGCGTGGCGCAAACTAACTCATCAATGGAGCAGGTGCGTGGTGGTGCCTGCCTTGGGAGTGTGAAGGGCGCAGCTGATCCCATGCTCCATGCGCGCGCTCATGTCATTCACGGCGAGATCGAGGAGCTGCCAGCAGTCTCATCAGCCAGCGTGGCGCAAACTAACTCATCAATGGAGCAGGTGCGTGGTGGTGCCTGCCTTGGGAGTGTGAAGGGCGCAGCTGATCCCATGCTCCATGCCTGCTCTCATGTCATTCACGGCGAGATCGAGGAGCTGCCAGCAGTCTCATCAGCCACCGTGGCGCAAACTAACTCATCAATGGAGCAGGTGCGTGGTGCCTGCCTTGGGAGTGTGAAGGGCGCAGCTGATCCCATGCTCCATGCCTGCTCTCATGTCATTCACGGCGAGATCGAGGAGCTGCGAGCAGTCTCATCAGCCAGCGTGGCGCAAACTAACTCATCAATGGAGCAGGTGCGTGGTGGTGCCTGCCTTGGGAGTGTGAAGGGCGCAGCTGATCCCATGCTCCATGCGCGCTCTCATGTCATTCACGGCGAGATCGAGGAGCTGCCAGCAGTCTCATCAGCCAGCGTGGCGCAAACTAACTCATCAATGGAGCAGGTGCGTGGTGCCTGCCTTGGGAGTGTGAAGGGCGCAGCTGATCCCATGCTCCATGCCTGCTCTCATGTCATTCACGGCGAGATCGAGGAGCTGCGAGCAGTCTCATCAGCCAGCGTGGCGCAAACTAACTCATCAATGGAGCAGGTGCGTGGTGGTGCCTGCCTTGGGAGTGTGAAGGGCGCAGCTGATCCCATGCTCCATGCGCGCTCTCATGTCATTCACGGCGAGATCGAGGAGCTGCCAGCAGTCTCATCAGCCACCGTGGCGCAAACTAACTCATCAATGGAGCAGGTGCGTGGTGCCTGCCTTGGGAGTGTGAAGGGCGCAGCTGATCCCATGCTCCATGCCTGCTCTCATGTCATTCACGGCGAGATCGAGGAGCTGCGAGCAGTCTCATCAGCCAGCGTGGCGCAAACTAACTCATCAATGGAGCAGGTGCGTGGTGGTGCCTGCCTTGGGAGTGTGAAGGGCGCAGCTGATCCCATGCTCCATGCCTGCTCTCATGTCATTCACGGCGAGATCGAGGAGCTGCCAGCAGTCTCATCAGCCACCGTGGCGCAAACTAACTCATCAATGGAGCAGGTGCGTGGTGCCTGCCTTGGGAGTGTGAAGGGCGCAGCTGATCCCATGCTCCATGCCTGCTCTCATGTCATTCACGGCGAGATCGAGGAGCTGCGAGCAGTCTCATCAGCCAGCGTGGCGCAAACTAACTCATCAATGGAGCAGGTGCGTGGTGGTGCCTGCCTTGGGAGTGTGAAGGGCGCAGCTGATCCCATGCTCCATGCCTGCTCTCATGTCATTCACGGCGAGATCGAGGAGCTGCCAGCAGTCTCATCAGCCACCGTGGCGCAAACTAACTCATCAATGGAGCAGGTGCGTGGTGCCTGCCTTGGGAGTGTGAAGGGCGCAGCTGATCCCATGCTCCATGCCTGCTCTCATGTCATTCACGGCGAGATCGAGGAGCTGCGAGCAGTCTCATCAGCCAGCGTGGCGCAAACTAACTCATCAATGGAGCAGGTGCGTGGTGGTGCCTGCCTTGGGAGTGTGAAGGGCGCAGCTGATCCCATGCTCCATGCGCGCTCTCATGTCATTCACGGCGAGATCGAGGAGCTGCCAGCAGTCTCATCAGCCACCGTGGCGCAAACTAACTCATCAATGGAGCAGGTGTGTGGTGCCTGCCTTGGGAGTGTGAAGGGCGCAGCTGATCCCATGCTCCATGCCTGCTCTCATGTCATTCACGGCGAGATCGAGGAGCTGCGAGCAGTCTCATCAGCCAGCGTGGCGCAAACTAACTCATCAATGGAGCAGGTGCGTGGTGGTGCCTGCCTTGGGAGTGTGAAGGGCGCAGCTGATCCCATGCTCCATGCCTGCTCTCATGTCATTCACGGCGAGATCGAGGAGCTGCCAGCAGTCTCATCAGCCACCGTGGCGCAAACTAACTCATCAATGGAGCAGGTGCGTGGTGCCTGCCTTGGGAGTGTGAAGGGCGCAGCTGATCCCATGCTCCATGCCTGCTCTCATGTCATTCACGGCGAGATCGAGGAGCTGCGAGCAGTCTCATCAGCCAGCGTGGCGCAAACTAACTCATCAATGGAGCAGGTGCGTGGTGGTGCCTGCCTTGGGAGTGTGAAGGGCGCAGCTGATCCCATGCTCCATGCCTGCTCTCATGTCATTCACAGCGAGATCGAGGAGCTGCGAGCAGTCTCATCAGCCAGCGTGGCGCAAACTAACTCATCAATGGAGCAGGTGCGTGCGTTAGAATGCTGGCGCAGGAACGTGCTTCCATTCCACGTGCCTCCTTGCCCCTCCTTGCTGGAAGATCGAGGAGCTGCGAGCAGTCTCATCAGCGAGTGTGGCCCAGTCCAACTCGTTCATGGCGCAGACTTTTGAGTCCACTCAAAAGTGTGGCCCAGACCAACACATCCATGGAGCAGGTGCGTGCTTCCCATGTGTGTGCTTGCTTGCCGCACAACAACCAGTCGCAACCAATACTCCCCCCATGCTCCACTCGTGCCATTCACGGCAAGATCGAGGAGCTGCGAGCCGTGTTGTCAGCGAGGATGGCCCAGACCCAACACATCTATGGAGTTGACTTTTGAGTCGACTCAAAAGCGTGGCCCAGACCAACTCGTCCATGGAGCAGGTGTGTGCTTCCCATGTGCGTGCTTTTTTGCCGCACAACAACCAGTCGCAACCAATACTCCCCCCATGCTCCACTCGTGCCATTTTACGGCAATATTAAAGAGCCGCAAGCCGTGTCGTCACAGAGTGTGGCCCAGGCCCAACACATATATGGAGTTGACTTTAAAGTCGACTCAAAAGTGTGGCCCTGACCAACACATCCATAGAGCAGGTGTGTGCCTTTGTGTAGGTGGCTTGTGATTGTAGAAGGTGCAGCTGATCACATACTCCATCCATCCCTCCATGCTCTCATGCCATGCGAGGGAGGATGGGGGAGCTGCGAGTCCCGTGTCGTCTGCCAGTGTGTCTCAGAGCAGACCAACTCGTCAACAGAGCAGGTGAGTGCTTCCCATGTGATTGCTCAAATCAGCATGGCACAAGCCAGCCCATTCTGGTCATGCTATTCGAGGCAAGATGGAGGAGCTGCGAGCTGTTTCATCAGCTAGCGTGACTCAGACCAACTCGTCAATGGAGCAGGCAAGTAAGTGCTTGAGAGTGAGTACCTTGTCGAAGAGCAGTCGATTTCCTACCCCCAGCTGTGTCGTCAGCCAGTATGGCTCAGACCAACTCATAGTGGTGCAGGTGCATATCCTGGGAGCGTGTTGGGGTGCAGCTGCTTCTGATGATGAGTTGTGTCGTAAGCTACTGTGGCTCAGACCGGTTCGTTCATGGGGCACGTGTGTGCCTTTGTGTGAGTGCTTGCGTGCCATTCACGAAGCTAGCAAGATGGAGGAGCTGCAGGCCGTGCCGTGTCGGCAGGCTTTTGAGTCGACTCAAAAGTCAGGCCGTGCCGTGTCGGCAGGCAGTGTGACGCAGAGCAGACCAACTCGTCCATTCAACAGGTGAGTGGTGTGTGACTGCTTAATTGCAATGATCCGCTTGTTGCTTGACCCGTGGTATGATCGTGGAGCTCCCTGTTCTGTCTTTCGTCGCACGCGCTGATCGTGTTTTTTTCAAGAAACACGGCCAGCGCGTGCGACGAGAGGTAGAACAGGAGCTCCACGATCCTGCCAAGTGTCAAGCCACGAGTGGTTGGTTGCAATTTGGCAGTCGCACACCACTCATCTGCTGCATGGACGAGTTGGTCTGCTCCGCGCTACACTGACTGACGACACGACACAGTTCGCAGCTCCTCCATCTTCTCGTGAATTGCATGAGAGCATGGAGGGATGTAGTATGGCATCATCTGCACTCTTTACAATCACAAGGAAGGGAGCAGGTTTGTGCTAAAACTGTTGCAGTAGGTACGTTCTAAAACTGCTGCAACATGTACGTGTTAAAACTGCTGCGGCATGTACGTGCTAAAATTGCTGCGGCAGGTACGTGCTAATACTACTGCGATGTCCTGCTTTATGATCCCTTCCTCCCCTCCCCAACCCACAGATGCAGCAGCAGTTTGCGGCGTTGAGTTGGAGGCTGGGGGAGCTGGACCGGAGGGTGACGTCTCTCCCCCATCTAATATACCCTCTTATCCCTCCCCCCCCCAACAACAGATGCAGCAGCAGTTTGCGGCGTTGAGTCGGAGGCTGGGGGAGCTGGACAGGAGGGTGACGTCAGCCATGCAGGACCCGACCATGCGTCTCGTGCTGCAGGGCAGTGCCCCGCTCTTCTCCCCCTCCTTGGGGGAGGCGGGGGAGAGAGGGAGGGATTTGGAGGGGAGAGGGGAGGGGAGTCAGAGGCAGGGAGACATGGAGAGAGGCGAGGGGAGGCAAGGAGTGGGGAGGGAGGAGGAAGAAAGGGAGGAGGGAGGTGGTGAGGCAGGGGGGATTGGAGGGGTTAGAGGAAGTGGAGAAAGTGGTGATGATGAGAGGCGGGAAGGTGAGGAGAGGAGGGAGGAAGGTGGAGGAGTGAGTGATGGTGTTGGGAGCAGTGGTAGTGGCGGTGAAGGTGCTGTGGGGGCCAGCAGTGCCAGTTGTGATCCTTCTGTTGCTGGTGCTCTTTCTGGAAACACCTAAAGTTTTTAGCGATTCATTGTGCGTAATGGCACAGCATTCTACATGTTGCAATTGAAGATAATGTCTGATTGCTAATAAATGTGGTGTAGTGGAATCGTTGTTTTTTTTTTGGCATTTTGTTACACCGAAATTTCTCGAGTACCTCGATGGTCACCTGCCGTGGCTGACGGAAGGAAGAACGCGGGGGAATTCCCTCCCATTTCTGATCATATTTTGGCGGCACCTGACGGATCATTTTCGTTACAGACTCCCCTGAGCCCGCGATTCAGATCGTACAGCCCTAAAATCGGGCCATTTTCATGTGCAATCTCTATATTACAGAAAATGTGTTCAGGTGCGATCCCAATCTGTTACGGCACTGTTGCGGCAGTGTACACACGTGCCGCAACAGTACCTTATGCAGACTCGCCACGCACATCTTGTTCAGCTGACGGATTGTCTCTGACACATTCTGACGGAAGTCAAACATACAGCATGGCCAGACCAAACTACCCGAAGCTGTTAAGGCCACCCGAAAAAAAAAACAAAATAAAACCCCAAGAGAACCTGGAAGCAGTTTGGGGGAGGGATCAACCCTAAACACCGGAACCCATCTGGTGTTTAGGGTTGATGCCTCCCGATTCGATTGCGTCCCGATTGGGTTTTATTTTTTTGTCACGAAAACCTACGGAGGCATCAACCCTTAACACCAGGAGTTCACGTGTTTAGGGTTGATCTCCCAATAATGCTTCCAGGGTCAGTAAAGCGTTGAAGTTTAATAGTTTTGGGGTATGTCTTAGCAATTCCTGGTAGCCTCGGTAAACGAAGCGTGTGTGGCGCATTAATTACCCATCAATTTCCCTCAGCCAGTACAGATTTGAGTGGCGTATCTTTTCAAGGCTCTGTTCCGGCACGCGTGTACAGTACGCAACAGAGACTTGGAAAGATGCGCCGGGATCTTACCTGAAAACATTTCCCCAACTGTAGAGATTTCACCTGAAAATGGCCCCCGGAAATCTACTGGATTGCCAGATTTTCTCACTTCCTTGCACCGCGTTCCGTTTGCCGTGCTGGTGAAGGCGATTCGAAGCGTCCTGGGAGGTCTGTGCGTTCCACAGCGTTCAAATGAAATTCAGAACGGTTTTGAAATTCCTCGAAACCGAACGTTTGAGAGAAACGCCCGACCCAACCCGAGCCGATCCCCCTGGCCTGAGGGCGACTAATATTGACGGTGGCGACGCGGTTTCGGTTGGAACAACACAACTGTGTGCCACAACAACCCAGAGTGTCAAGAAAGAGGTGACAGAGAGGATCAACCATTGGCTGGAGGGGAGTGGATAGAGTCTGTGCCCAACACATAGTTATGCTGCCATTGATTGGTGGATACTGTATTCATAAAAGCAAGGAATTTAGTCTTTCGGGCAGATACAAAAGATGTCGCATCTCAAACACACAGCTGGTGCCTGATGGTTGTGATGAGATTCCTCACCAACTCAATTTTGGTCACTCATTGCTGGACGAGAAAAAAAATCACCTGATTTGGCTTTTGGAATGTTCCTCGCCGCCAGCGCGGTGCCGCACCGTCAACCCAGCAGCTCGGAGCACGTCAACGCCAGGCCGTGTTTTCCTGATTCCAGCTGTGCAAGAAATCGCTTCGACTTGCACGCAACCTACCCACTCGTCGAGCCGCACTTGCCAATCAACCCCCTTTTGCAGCACTGTGATCATGCGCTCAGTGCTTGCCCCGCCAACCATTTGGAAGGTGACGAGAACGACTGGGAACGATCGAGTCGCAAGTGCGCTGCGCACCGCCATCGTTTTTTCTGCGACGACCACCCGTCGACCAGTCGTGCGTTATTGCAGCGCCAGGTGGCAGTGGTCCTCTCGACCTGCTGTCGTCTCCCCGCCCCTTTCTTCTTGGAATTGAGACTTGTTCGTCCCTTCACGCAACTGAAGGTGAAGGACTTTCCTTGGATGGACGGGACTGGTTGGGGCAGGTCTGGCCACCACATCATTCCCCCAAAACCACACGCCACAGTCATCAGCAAGCGCACGACTCACGAATTTCCACCAACCTTTCCAGCCGAGAGCTGGACAGCGGCACGTCAAGTCTTCGAGTCGCCTCGTCTTCACTGCTGACCTTTCGCGCCCCGTTTACAAATATGAGAACATGTGGTTATTTTCGAGGTAGATTCACGTAATCCACAACGACAATATTTTCGAGGTAGATTTACGTAAAAAAAATTTCTGACACCTATGGTATCTATCACTGTACATTACAGCTCCCGGCACCGCGAACGGAAAATATCACAGTTGTTTCGAGGATGCTCTGGATTTTTCCAGATTCAGAAACTTTCTCACTAGCCTGCCCTTTGCCTTGACTGTTTTGTGGGAAAGGGCAACCCTATCCGTCCGTGGATAACGGGCCAGCGTCAGGGGCGGGGCACAAGGCAGGGGCACACCACCTTTTCCTTTTCTCCCCCCACCCCACCAACCACTGCCTTTCCGCTTTTCGAGACACACCACACCACCCCACCAACCGCCACCGCTTCCTCCCCCCACCTATCGACCAACCGACCCACCACCGCACGGCGCAACAACACCGCCATTCTTCCTTCCCCACCCATCCCCCCATCACCCCACCCCACCTCTCACTGGCCGTCAGAAGTAGAAATAGGGCTTCCATTTCGTTCATTTCTCATCGGCCTTTTGTGCTTTCAAACATGCCTTCAAGGACCACCGTTCAAAGCTCAAGCAGCAATCGTCACTCAAAATTGCGTTCATTCGTTCTTCGTTCCAGGGTATTACGTTCCCGTCGCGTGCTCCAGTCCTCCAGTTTCTCAGAGACAGTCACCTGAAGAAGAGATAACAAAGTGTACGGAACAGACAGACTCTCCTCTTCTCGTGTTTTTGTGTAGATAAACTTATCAGATGGCGACTGCACTAGCGACCTGCCCCTCTGTTCCAAGAGCCTTCAGCGGAACTTCTACCGCGCTCCGGCCACAGAAAGCATCGGAAAAGAACCTCTCGTCACTCCGCGTGTCATTTCCCGCAGCTCGCGTTGCCGTCTCCGCTCGTTCAGCATCGATTTCATCTCACGCCGTAAGATGCCAGGCACCGGCTGTTCTTGAGAAGGACGCTCAGCAACTGCAGCAGCTGTCCGTACCGTCGTCGTTCGATTACAACGAGAAGATGAAACGCCAGATGGCCAACCCGTACGAGTATCATCACGAGCTCGGTATCTATTACACTCGCGTACACAAAAACATAATCGTCGGCTCGCAACCGCAAACTCCCGCTGACATCGACCGGTTACAAAAGGAAGAAGGCGTTAAAGTGATTCTCAACCTCCAGCAAGATCATGATATTAGCTATTGGGGTGTGGATATTGGAGGTATTGTGAAGCGGTGTAAGGAAGTGGGGGTGGAGCATCACAGGCGGCCGGCAGTCGATTTTGACCCCAACTCACTAAGACGCGAACTTCCCCGGATGGTTGCGGTTATTGCGAAAGCTGTAGCGGAAGGGAAAACTGTATACGTGCACTGTACTGCGGGTTTGGGGCGTTCGCCTGCTGCTGTTATCGCGTATCTTTTCTGGTTCTCCGAACCGAAGATGGACCTGAACGCGGCGTACGAGCACGTTACATCTCTCCGGCCGTGCGGGCCCAAGAAGGACGCGATCCGGGGTGCGACGTACGACTTGGCCAAGAACAGTCCGTACCAACCGCAATTCGAGCATCTGCCCGATTTCGCATTCACTGACGTGGCGCAGTGGGAGCGCGACCTTATCCGCCAACGGGTCTGGGGATTGGTTTAAACAGCACCAG